ATAGAAATAGAATGAAATATTATAAAAATAGTATGAAATAAATATGGATAATATAAAATAAATATGGATATGATTTATAAATCAATTATTCAATGAAAATTAACTATGAAACGTCATATGATATGCTAAAATTCATATCACAACAATATCAAACAAAATCAAGTTTAAATAATATTAGAATATCTAATAGATTTTTGTATATAAAAATATTTAGTTTTATAATTTTTTAAATTTTTTATATATTTTTCAAATTGTATTACATGTAGTATAAAATAAAGATTTTAATTTTTATTAATAAAATTGTATATATAATTCTAATTACTATATATTATAATTAAAAAAATATTATTTTTTAATATTTGAATACAACAAAATTTCAACAAATATATAATCAAAACAATATTTAGTAATTAATATTGTGTACTAAAATACTAAAAATACAATCACATACAAATACAAAAAAAAACTGAAATCTCTACTTAGACTTAAAAATTCTCAAATCTGAAACTTAATTGGATACGATAAGCTTTAATCAAAGATATTTATTAGTGAAAAGTAATTTAATCATCTAAATGACTGAAACTAAAATTTCTAAAAAATAATTTTGGCTGATATTTATTATATTGTATACTATCTAAAATATCATTATTATAAAATACTCCCCTCAAAGTATTCATTTCTCAGACAAGTACTCATTATTACACAAAATATCACAAAAGATGAATTCAGTCTTTGTAACCTTATGATTAAATAAATAAGTACATGTATGAATACATTCATATAAACAACAATCAATTTAAACATGGTATTATCTTCTATTCATCCAAGTTACGTTTCGTCTAATCCCATTTCACCAGTCAAATATTTATATAAGCATACCACCAGTATTACCACCGCAAACATGATAATTTACTCACCCAATCACTCAAGGTTCGCGCGCGAGACAGCATAAATCTTTTCGTTCGATAGAGTGAATCCATAAGTGTAATCCTTGAATGTAACTTTTGGAAAAAACATATAATCAAAAAGTGCTTATGTATTATGATCAGTCCCTGCATAGAAAATCAACTTTTCATCGCACCTGTAATTTTTCTTACTGCCGGTACCAACAACAAATTGTCATTATTACTGCCATTATTACTATCAGCAGACTGTTGCTTGGCAATAAGTAAACTTGCATTTTGCAGTAATTTGTGTGCGCTTGTAGCGTGTTGTTGAGTTATACCTTCAGTTGTCTAAATATTTCAAGAATTATTCTATTTGACAATTCTGAAAATTAAGTATAAATTCATTAATTAACACAAACATCTATTAAGCTTCCGTCCTCGAGTCCAACAGTAAAAGAAGCTAAATGATTTGATAACTGTGAAAGCCTAATGAATTCTTGGTCTTGCGTGTTGTTGGACTTTTGTTCATTTATGTAAACGTTTCAATAGAATATAAAAAAGTGAGATTCAGAAAGATAAAATAAGAGTTTTGTTAATAACTCTTTTACCGAAAATGATGTACGCGCACAATAAATACCATAATTGAAAATATCCAGTTGTTGGTTAATTGTCTACAATAATAAACAAATAAATAAATAAAAATCACTCACGTGTATCCGAAAAAAATTTAGATCCGAAAGCCTTACTATTCTTTAGATACACAACCCAATGGCCTCGACACAAACTCGCTCACAACGAACAACTACCACACACGATGGCATTTCAAATATTAACAATGCCCATAATAGTAATAACAATAAACCAACATACACAGTTGCCCACCTTCTCACAAAGATAACAACACTTATCGAAACCTGTGATTTCGAACTAGCATATACTTTTTGCTTGAGAGCTCTTGCAATGGAATCGGATAATGTAGCGGTGTTGGAGGCTACTGGTGCCGTGGAACTAGAGCTTGAAAAGTTTGAAGAGGCTCGAGAGGTATAACTTTAGTTATTTATTTGTGCTTTGGCAATTTGTTATTTGGCGTTACTATTTCTATAGTAATTTTTTCTTATGATTTCTCACAAATTTCTAAATTGAAAAAAATAAGCACTTTTCAAAAGCTATATCATTAAGTCCATCCCGAGGATCTTCGAAATACATGTATATGGGACAACTATCCGAAAATCTCGACTCTATAAATTACTTTCAGACCGGAATTGACCTAATGACCGAAGAATTAAAATCTGTGAGTGCCGCTTCTACCTCAGAAGAACAAGAACATCATCAGGCACTATGCAGAAAAATATCGACCGCGCTATGTTCAATGACTGAAATTTATTTGACTGATTGTTGGTGAGGTGCCTAAATATCTATCTATATATATTGGTGATTTGTCTTTGTCGACATTACAAATTTAAGGATCCCGTGATTGATTTTATAATTTAAATATTGATTTGATTGGATAAATGACAATAAAGTTTCGAATCGGATGCTGAATCACGTTGCGAGTCTTATTTGAACCGGGCGATTGAAATCGATAAAAGTAATCCGGAGGTATATCAAGTGTTGGCCTCTGTACGACTATCACAACAACGTAAAGAAGATGCAAAATTAGCATTAGAGAACAGTATAAATCTCTGGATTAACGCTGAACCGGGCATGTATAGTAATAGTTCATAGGTTACTGCATAAACTACTAAACTAAACAATCAAATATATGATATCATCAATTTTAAGTAGGTAATGCAATAATGCCAACATACGCCGCTCGCATTTCACTAGTAAAACTATTACTCGAACTTTCCCAGTATAATCGAGCCCTTACTGTACTTGACGGACTACAAAAAGAGGATGACGAGATGATCGAATTGTGGTACCTCTATGGTTGGTCTTATTATTGTATGGGAGAAGACGCGTCAAACGATGAAGAAAAGTCTTCAAATTGGGAGGATGCACGAGATTGTTTGAACACGTGCAAAAAGGTAAATTTATTAACAATAGGAGATAGCAGGAATTGTTTTTTTATCCCTAATGCTTTTATTACACTTTAATACAGTTATTTAATAAATTTGAATCGGACGATGATGGAATATGTCAGCACACTCAAGAATTGTTACAAACCATCAATGCCTTCCTGAAGCCGTCAACATCTGCATCCGAAGATGAAGTGCCGGATCAGGAAGTCGACGATGATGATGACGAAGGAGAGTGGAAAGACTTGAGCGACGATGATGATGATTATGCTGATGAAATGGAAATGTAACAATAAACAGAACTATTACAATAATAATGATTGTGATCGTATTATATATATATCAATAAATATAAATAGGTCACTGAAAACAAATTCGACTCACGGGAAAAAGTGTAGTAGCTTTGGGGCTCGAGAGAGATACGTTGCTCCATACTATTATCCCTTTGATTGAATGTGACTGGCTGACTGAATTGATTGCTATTTTTCGTAAATGATACAAAATTTTTTATTTGCACTTTTTGTTTGTTACTACACATTATAGTAATAATAATTTTTAATGAAAAGTAATCCCAACCATATATAGTAGATATAAGCAAGTCCACGGCAGCAGTATCCCACTTTGATTGATTCTACATTTTTTTCTCCCGTCTACTCTCACTTTTTCTCTCATATACAGAGTTGCTTTCTTGCAATAGATGTAGTATAAATAGTAGTATTAGATGATGAATGTAATAGATGCAGTATTTGGTAATGAGTCGGTGTCATGAATCGCTATATTCCGAGTCGCCGTCCGTTAACACTCCTCGTAGGATTTCGTTAAGTAAATCACCAAAATAAGGATAATCCCCCGGAATTGAAGTAATTTCTAACCATCCTCGTGTTTTCTGAACACTTTTGAAATTTTGTACCACATAGCTCATTACATGCTCTTTTAGTTCTTCATACTGCCATGCTAAAAAAGAGGAGAGAATTAATAAATTAAATGTAAGCTAGAAAAGAATTATGATAAAAAATTACCAGTTCCAAAGAGGAATTGAGCTGCATTTTCAATATTGACACTTTTACACAGTTTGACTTTAGCAATCTGTTGCAGAGTGTCTATTAGATACTTGTCGGCAATCTTGTATATATCAATTGCGCTTCGGTGTGAATCTTCTCGCCCGAAAGCCACTTGATTCGTGTATAGATAGCGTAACATTTCGATAAACGTGTCAGGATGAAAGTCCATGACGTGAATAACAATTTTTTCATTGGTCTTTTGCACGAGTTTCATGTCATCAAGACTAATGTTGACTGCTGATATCATGTCATTCATGCCAAACTCGTCCAATCTTTTTCGTTTTGATGGTGATGGAGTAATTGTATTATATTCTGCAGCTTTTTGTGGTTGTTGTTGCTGTGATGACGATGATGATAATGATGATGATGCTGTAGTTGATGCTGATGATATTATTGGAGGAAGTTCATGAAGAGAAAAATGCTTTGCTGATGTTGATATTGGAATTAATGAAGGTATTGATGGTGATTTGGATGATTGCTGTTGTAATATTATCTGCAGTTCATGTGGTGACGTTATCGGCAATTTTTTTAGTCGAGGTAATTGAGGCTGTTTCTGTGAAATTTTGTGATTATTGTATGCTACAGATTCAATCCATTTCCCTTCAAACATCCTCTTAAAATACTGTGATCGCTTGGATAGTATCGAGGTATTTGCATAGATAGAGACTCCTTGCACTCTAAATTCGACATCAGCAGTTTCAAGTTTATTTAGCTGTTCACCCCAAGCCTGTAAAAGATCATTAGGAAATGGTTTACCATTCCCGGGAAAAGACGGCTTCAGATCATTCGGCTGAAATTCCGTAGTATCAAATTCTACCCCGAGAATTAGATCGTCGTAGATCAATAGACTTTTCTTGCAAAATCTATTCCAACCTATTATTATTATGAAGATGAAGATTGTGATCAATCTTAGGAAGCATTCATTCGGGAAAATAAAGGATCGAATATGTATCCACATAAACTATAATACCTCTTAGTGGTTTTATTGCGGAAAATTTGCTGGTATCCAGACTCATTTTCTTAATTATAAGAAAGGTTCTCGGGTTCTTTAGATAAATATCAGCAGAATATTGTGCTCGATTTGGCCATGTCGACGTTGTGTTTACCTCTTCTTGATTCGGAAGTGCCACTAGATATACAGAACAATGTTCTGGATAATCTTGAGACGTCTATTACGATGTAATCCAATAATAATCATTGTTAGTATTATTCAGTTTGTAATAAAAAAAATACTAGTTCGCTATGCAACGAGAAGTATAGTAATATCGTTAATGCAATTTTTGTGCTGCAGGAGTGGTAGGAACAACGAAACCGATTTGATAGTCTTGTGGGTGGTCCCAAGCGTCGTTATTAAAGGCGGTTTGTTGCAGTTTTGTTTTTCGGTTTTTACTTTTTTCTTAGATAAGATATGAATAACAGGTATGCGACCGACAAGTGCTAAAAACCAGGGATTCTCTCCTGGTATTTCTATTTATCGATAGACATGTATAATAGCTTACCGGCTTAAACTTCAATTGCCAAAATGTGTCGTGACTGGTTGCGAAAGGAGGACTATAGACCTTCGGGGGAAGCTTTGAGAGGTCTTGTAGCGTAAATTCAAAACAGCTCTTTGCTTTGATAGACATGATATAAGTAATAGTAGCCGAAACGATATATGTACGAACAACAAGAAGTTAGTCGTTGCAAGTTGTAATAAAATAATAGTTTTTTAAGTATAACAGTAAAAAATTGTGTGAGAATTTGTTATAATATGATGTTGTCAGATATAAATTTTTATTATATGAATATAGTCGGAGTATATTGTACTTTATTATTAAATAAGTTATTTATCAGTCAGGCAACATGGAAAAACCGACAGACTCACACGCACAGAACAACAAAGTAATAAAGTGTGAGATAATTCCAGCTTCGAGGAGAAAATCAAGTCCGGCCTCAAATACCAAAAAAAGAAATTGAAATGATGGAAAAGAATATGTAATGAATATGATTGGGTGGAAATTACGTCATCCTTGGTATTACATTGTATGTGAATAATGGCATAGTTTGTCGCGAGACTTTCTACAACTTTTAATCGATGCGATCGATGCGAAAAATCGTACTATCAGACAAGAATAAAATGACAAAAACAATAACAATGCATTTTACGATAAATAATAACGAGTTAGTCATCCATGCTCAAAAGTCAAGTAAAATGGTTACAGGATAACTCTATTAAAGTGCTAAAATTAGTCGTGTTAGACGTGATCGCTGCGCTGTATGATCGTTACATTTTGGGGTCCATCTTTCGGAATAACGTGTGCAAAGCTTCTCTACAGTCACATTTCTGTATAGTCACAATTTTTCTATACTCTCGGTGATGTGATTATGGGAGTGTGACTGTATTCGGAAATTTATGATGCAAGATGCTAGTTTTATTGTGGAGGAAGTTTTTAATAATAAATTATAATTTATCGCTTATGTGATATGTCGCTATGTCCCCAGTTACTAAGAGGGTAGGGTTAGGGTTATGGGCCCAAAAAAGACTAAGCTTATATTTTTGGTCCCCGTTACTATTAAATTTGGGGTCCTGCGATAAATCGCTATAGCGGTAATTTACAAAATCCTTTTTAATATTGTGAAAAAAACTATTCTATTTTATTGATTCGATTAAGGACAAAAACGTGCCTAGATATTACTAGCTTGTGGTCCTAAAACTCGATTAGATGCCATGAATCTTTTTTTGACATATTTATATCCAACGCCATATTAATCGTGTAAAATAAATAAAAATTGATAAATAAAAAACCTGTATTTATCAACATCGAAAATAAGATAAACTCACAAAGCTCCCTGCGCGATTCCGAAATTCTCGATCATTCTCAACTGTTCCGCGGTGGTTTCGACATGATTCTCCAGTTTTGCCATGTTAACTTGAAGGCGCTCGAGTTGCAAATTTAAAGCGGCGTAGTGTCGTTGTTTTGTCACGGCGTAATGACTGTTGTGGAAACTGAGACCAACGGCGGGTGTATTTTGGAAGTGGTGGTTGTTGTTCATGTTTGGGATATTACTGAAGGGTGTAGAGATTTTCTTCTGTATAACGATAACGATAATAATAGTTTTGATGATCGAAAACACGTGATATCATAATTCAGCCAATATTGAAAAATTTTTAGTTAAAGAATAATATTTCGTCCTTAGCTGATTATATAGAAGTTATATGATATTAGGTTTCTTTTTTACCCGTGAGTTCATTCTAAAGCTCTTAGGACGACAAAACTAAATAAAAATTGTTTATTGTATTTACTTTATTTCTTATACAGAAAGATGATACTCCACCAAAAGTAATACATGCAGTCATAAATTCCCTATATCGAATATTTTACCTCTTCTTTCGAAAGGTGACTTGCAACGTCCAAAAAAGGCATATTTAATATAATCCGAAGCAATTAACAGTGATGACGGTGATAATGATGACGATGATGTAAAATCAGTAAAAAGAATGCAGATACGCGAGACGTATATTCATTATGTGAATAAACTTATCGATTTTCTTGGTCATATGGAACCTGGACTACAAGTAAGCAACAGAAAGTATAATTATATATTCTATGAAATATCGCTTATGATGAACAACTCAGACCTGTTCCAAGTCATTTTTGACTCTGCGGAAATTTAAGTTGCCTAATCGTGTCTGATCTATTTATAACAAAGATATCTAATTGACCAATATGAATCAAGTATCAATCAACTAATGAATTATTTTGTTAAACTATTATATTTTTATTGATTAGAATAAGGACAAAAACGTGCCTAGATATTACTATCTTGTGGTCCTAAATATTAATCGTGTAATAAAAAAACCTGTATTTATCAACATCGAAAAATAAGATAAACTCACAAAGCTCCCTGCTCAATTCCGAAATTCTCAACTGTTCCGCGGTGTCTTCGACATGATTCTCCAGTTTTGCCATGTTAACTTGAAGGCGCTCAAGTTGCAAATTTAGAGCAGCGTAGTATCGTCGTTTTGTCACGGCGTAATGGCGGGTGTATTTTGGAGGGATATCACTGTTAAGTTGACGCGTAGTCTTAGGAAGTTTTTATGGGTGTTAGAGATTTGCTACGGTATAACGATAATAATAATAATAGTTTGATAATCGAAAAACACGTGATATCATAATTCAGCCAATATTGAAAATTTTTTTAGTTAAAGAAAAGAAAAATGTCTACAAAAAAGTTACTAGACAAAATAAACCAACTCGAATATGAAATATACGATGATAATAATTTGATTCGGAATAATATTTCGGCCTTAGTTGATTATATAGAGGTTATATGATATTAGGTTTCTTTCTTTTTTACTCGTTATCTTCGTGAGTTCATTCTGAAGCTCTTAGAGCGACAAAAATAAATAAAATTGTTTATTGTATTTCCTTTATTTCTTATACAGAAAGATGATACTCCACCAAAAGTAATACATGCAGTCATACATGCCCTATATCGAATATTTTTACCTCTTCTTTCGAAAGGTGACTTGCAACGTCCAAAAAAAGCATCTTTAATAATATCCGAAGCAATTAATAGTGATGACGATGATAATGATGACGATGATGTAAAATCAGTAAAACGGATGCAGATACGCGAGACGTATATTCATTATGTGAATAAACTTATTGATTTCCTTGGTCATGTGGAACCTGGACTACAAGTAAGCAACAGAAAGTATAATTATATATTCTATGAAACATCGCTTATGATGAACAACTCAGACCTGTTCCAAGTCATTTTTGACTCTGCGGACATCTAAGTTGCCTAGTCGTGTCTCTGATCTATTTATAACAAAGCTATCTCTAATTGACGAATATGAATCAAGTATCAATCAATTAATGGATTATTTTGTTAAATTGAACTAGATTCCGTCATTGAAAATTCTACTTGATTTATTAAAAAGCGAATCTGCGTTTCTTACCTTTTCGGCGGGATCATGTCAATTCTCTAATAACCATTTCTTTCGCGTTGTTGAGGGTCTTTTGGATAACGAGAATTTTAGTGAACCACTAAAAAATGAGTTTGTCGAAAAGTATTGGAATGTTTATGATGATTTGAGATTTTATTTTCTAAAGGATGCTGCGTGCGTATATTTATAAAGAGATATATATTTAAATTAATACAAATAATTTAACTATAAAATTTAATTTTTTTTTTGTTAAAAGTAAAATTATTAATTTACTATTAGACAGCGGTACAGCGAAAGATCAATCAGGTCCGAGTTTGAAGGTAAAAATTTGAGTTTATCGATATAATACAAGTTTTTATAAAAAAATTATATGTATTATTGGTAGAAAAGAAAAATGCAAGAAAAACCAGACAGCAAAAAGTTGAATAGGTTGATGGAAAATACATTTTCGATTCTGGATAATTTGAGAACTATGCCGACTGATGAATCTGAAATTGATGGATTTTGGATTGGACATCCTGCTCCTGGTATTTATATATAATAATAATAAATTAAACCTAATAAGATTATCGAGACTATTTATTATAATTTTAATAGAAATGATAAAGAAAAAATCCAATAACAACCACGATACACAAGGGGAAGAACAAGATTCAAATAGCTTTGTATCATCTTCTGATGAGGAAGAGGAGGAAGAAGAAAACCACGACGATAACGATGACGATGCTACAAATGAACCTATAAAAGATGATATCAAATTACCAATAATTCTCCGACTACAAGAACACAAACGAGTATTCTCTGAATGTTGGTTATCCTTGTTAAAATTACCAATGACACTTGATTCGTACAAAAAAATCTTATTGATTATGCACAAGAAAATCATTCCGCATATGTTACAACCACCATTGTTGATGGACTTCTTGACAGACTCTTATAATGCTGGTAAAATTGGTTTTCTAGAGTACATATAGAAAATTATTCTTAATTCTCTGATTTTAATTGGTGAGTTTTATTTGGATATTAGGTGGCGTTGTGAGTATATTGGCTCTGAACGGTCTGTTTACATTGATTCATGAACATAATTTGTGAGTTTTTTCTTATTTTCTTTTTTTAGTTTGAATTTTATATTTTATTCAATAGCATTTTATTCTCTAATAAAAATAAACAGGGATTACCCAGATTTTTATAAGAAACTGTACGGACTGTTTGATCGAAATCTAATGCACGTTAAATATCGATCGCGTTTTTTCCGTCTTGTCGATTTGTTTCTTGCATCTACGTGAGTATCAATAAAAAACATTCTTAATTCTTGTTTTAAGTCATCTAATTTATATGGTATGCATAATATAAATAAATGATTTGTATTAATAAATAGACATCTTCCCATTCAACTAATCGCAGCATTCATCAAACGAATGTCACGATTATCATTGACGAGTCCACCGCACGGGATCGTCATTTTGATTCCGATGATATATAATTTGATGAAGAGGCATCCTGGGTGTATGCAATTAATTCATCGAAGTAATAATAATCATGAAATAGTAGCAGAAAATAATGGTATGTACATTAACATATCGAGTTTTTATTTTCGATAATTTAATCTTCTTTATTAATTGGATTTTTTAGACCCGTATAATTTCGATGAAAAAGATCCAATGGAAAGTGGCGCTATTGATAGTTCTTTATGGGAGATAAAGGTATGTAGTATTAGACCGTTTTATTTAAGTAATTGAATAACTATTTGATCTTTCTAATTATACTAAAAAAAAAACAGACTCTCCAAGATCACTATTACCCGAACGTAGCAACGCTAGCAAAAATTTTCGAAGAGCAGTTCACTAAACCGTCTTATAATCTCGAAGATTTCCTTGATCATACCTATACAACGGTAAGAAGATTAATGGACTATTTTATATTAATTTTTAATTGGACTTCTTGATTAAATTTAATAATTTTTTAGATATTCGAAACAGAAATCAAACGAAGTATCAAAAAGCTGAATACTAACAACAGCAATAATAGACCTCCAGCTCTTGCTTTTGAAAAACCGAAATATTTGTTTCCCTCCTACAATCATAGTGTTAATAATAATGATGAAATCAACAACGATGATATTTGGAAAATGTGGGAATTTTGATGAAATTAAATGAATTTCTACCAAAAATAGACTCCAATGGTTAGTTAATTCCTCGGCTAGTTATAATTTATTATTTGATGAGGTTAATTAAATGATAATAGCATTATCCCTGCACGAATATATGAGAAGTCGCATTGTAAGCTATAATTTCTCTTGGAGATGCGCTCCTTATGCACTTGTCTTGAATTTTTTTTGGTTAGAGAAATGCTGACTCAAAAAATATACTGAAGAAAGCTTTATTCAAAACTGTTTCATTCATCGCGTTCTTTATTATTGACGACCCAGTTCAATCATTATTTCCAATTCAATCAAGACTTTGACAAATGTGCTAAATTTTTCGCATTAGTCTCCCAATTCTAAATAAAGATTAAAGTCACTTTAGTAAAAAAAGTTTTTGGGGTGAATTGATGTGAAAATTTACCTGTCCGTCAAATTTTACTATAGTGAAAGATTCCACAGTGTCAGAATCGATGCAACGAAAGTTTATCTTTTTTTGTTATTTTGTTATAAATTATTTCGAGTTTCAATTGTTAATTTTTACAAAATATTTATTATATACATACATCCCATCCATCAGGATTTGAACGCGGTATGTAACTAAAAAATGTCAAATAAAAATCAATTACTCGACTATCATTAAATTAGAAAATTGACATTTCTCGCATCTCTTACAATGGCGAAATACCACAAGTACTACAGAAATAATGTTTTGCTACATGTGTATTGAACGTATAAACTGATAGACTATCTTTTCCTTGTAAAATACGGAATCGTGAATTCGGGACAATCAAATGCAGAAATCCTAATCAAATTTCGTATATGATATGATCAATGTTTTATTTTACGTGACAAACATTTTATACAGGAGGTTTACCTTTTTTGATACATATCGAACAATTACAATCTTGTATTTCTAGTATCTTAGGCGCGTCTATTTGAAACATAACTTTTTTGCAGTGACAACTTCCTGTGTGTGTAACAAATGAATGGTTTGATTGGTCTGTTTTTTCGTTATTTGATGTTGTCATGTTTTTTAATTCTTGATTGAACTGTGTTTGCGAAAATTGACTTTGGCCAAGAATTATATTGAATTCTTAATTGCTGTATAACGATCTTCTAGATGTGTAGGAAATAAACTGCCTTTTATAAGGATGTGACAATAATTTTTGTCATGTGATTTATGTCTATTAAAACTTGCTTTTAAAGTTCAAGTCAAATCATCCACCACAAGTTGGCGAATTCAATATTTAAATAATTCAATTCTTATTGCTGCATACTCTAGATATGCTGCATACTCTAGATATGCTGCATACTCTAGATATATATATATATATATATATATATAAGGGGAAAAGGGGGTATTTTGACGAAAAAGGTATTATGACGAAGTAATGATATCTCGATGACTAGCGATTCCGATCGCTAGTTATCGAGATATCGCACCGAAAGTCATCATATGTCAGATTTTCGCCAATTTAAAGGGCAATATCTCGATACCCTGCAATCGAAATCACGAGAAAATACCACCATTCGATTCGTCATGTCTAGACGAATCGAATGGTGGTATTTTCATATTATTTTTGATATCAGTATATCGAGATATCATTCTTGAAAATCACCGTATGCCAAAATTTAATATAAATGGCAAAGATCTAATATACAGTGCTCGTCAGAAGTAACCAGACCCCATAACTCGACGTCCAGAGATCCGATTTGAGCAAAAATACACACCCCTACAGTATATTACCGGAAATTTTAAAAATGAATCTGTCATTTTTAAAATTTCCGGTAATATACTGTAGGGGTGTGTATTTTTGCTCAAATCGGATCTCTGGACGTTGAGATATTATGTCCTAAAGTGACCGATTATTGTATTTGTTTCATTAGAAATTGATCGCCAGAAAAATGGATTGGTCAATTTAGGATGTAATATCTCGATCGCCAGTGATCCGATTCAAAAAAAATAATATCATTCGATTTGTCTAGTCAAGACGAATCGAATGGTTATATATTTTATTTGAATCGGATCACTGGAGATCGAGATATCACGTCCTAAATTGGCAGATTAATGTTAAAAAAACCAAATCTGCTACTTTAGGACGCAATATTTCGACGCCCAGTGATCCGATTTGAACAAAAATATTACCGTTCGATTCACCTCGACTAGGCGAATTGAATGGAATATTTTTGTTCAAATCGGATCACTGGATGTCAAGAGTTAGATTATTTAATATTGAGATGTGTGTTATGAAATAACTGATTATATTTGGGACGTGAAAGTTTATATAAATCTATAAAAGGTATTAACGATCAGCATTTGTAATGTTCTTTGTGCTCGGAAAATTTTGGAACATTACACATGATCTATGGAAAGTTATGGGGAGGAACGTTACTTCTGACGAGCACTGTAGTATTGAACTATCCAAAATCAGTGAGGATTTTTTTTCATGAACTAAAATCCTGCAATCTGATTGGTCAATTTAAAATAATCGTTACTTGATTAACCATCATAATTATTTCTGTGCAGAAACCAATAAAGTTTATTTCATGGATAAGGATAAGTGAGGGAACCCTTGTAGTATATATATTGATTATCGTTGTCTAACGCTAAATATACATTCGTTACAGAATAAAAATTTGTAAATTTTCAATAATGTTCATGATCAAATAATCGATGTGCGCCAGCTTCTGCCGACAGAACAACAGTTTGTGGATCAACGTCTGGTGGTAATGGGAGCTGTTGTAATAGTAAATGTGCTTCTTTTGCCGCGATAACGCGTATGCTATTGATCGTTTCAGAGTGGTGGGAACGATCGTATGGAGTTTTTAGATGTGCGTCGTGGGCTCTTACTGCCTAAATATGAAATAAATTGTTATCACTGTAAATTTTAAAGAGCATACACGAATTATTTACTTTGAATGCGGCAGCACCAGCAATCATAGCAGGTGAAAGTGGAAATCGTGGGTCAGGACCACGTACATATACTTGATTGAAATATTGTTCCATCTGGGCTATTATATAATGGAATAATAAATATTAACAGGGAATATAATATATCACATTTCAATAAAAATTATGTTATTTAATTTACCTGGATCAGATCCAAAAGCATTTGGCATGAAAGCATTAAAGCCTCGTAGATTTTGTCCGTAGGCTGTTTCGTTATGTTCCACAATCGTATCGGACAACATATTATGGTGTTGAAATGTTTGTATTATAATGTTTGTTTGCTTTAATATTGTAGTGCTCAGAGTTATAGTATTAAAAGTAAAGACGTGTTCTTATATATATTTGATTCGCGAATAATAATAATGATATCATAACAATGATTGTAGAAATGAGCAGTTTGGTTTGATCCAATTAAATGACAAGCTTTGGCATACAGAGTTTTTTTTTAAAATATGATATCATTGTGCTACACAAATGATGGATCGGGTAATGTGAAGGGGTTACAGTAAGTATCCCAGCCACGGCGAAAATAAGTGTTGATTACGTGATTCCGGATGCCGAGTATCCGATATTCCTCCTAGAATCATGCACCAATCAAATCGCAATATCAATGTGTAATGCAAAAAATTGAAACAAACACTTGAAAAATAGCTTGTAGCTTGAAATTTTACTTATGAAACAATTATCAAAAAATGTTTCTTGTAAAAATTTACTATAGTGCATAATATCTAAAGTCATCAAACATTTGTATTTTACAAAATGTATAAACTTCTTTGCTAAGAAGTAAATACAAAATTTAATTCGTGAATATGCTCAGAAAGAAGCTATTCTATCATATTCAAGATTTATATTTTGTATTTACTTCTTAGTAAAGAAGTTTATCCATTTTATAAAATACAAACGTTTGATGACTTTAGATGTTATACATCATATAATTTAAATCCAATTCTAATACTAACTGAAACTATAATTAAAAAAAAATTTTAAAAAAATATTAAATAAATTAGTATTAATATTGGAGTTATATTATCAACACTTTTTTTTGCTATAACTAGGATACTAATTATAATTAAAATCTGATATTTCATAACAAAGTAATATTATTAACTAATTAATTGTTTTTATTTTATTTAATAATTTTAATAATTTTAATAATTTAAATTCAATTCAATTTAATTATTATTTTTATTGAATTAATTTTAAATTATATAATTTATATATAATTTTATTTGTGACTTATTATTATAGTTTATATATATATTGATTAATATAATTATAGAATTATATAATTTTATTAATAAATATAGTCAAATACCTTTATAATTACACCTATTTATAATTATATCCCTTTATAGTCACTATATTTTGCTTTTCTATTTATATATAAATATAGTAAAAAAAATCTCTCTATAGTTACATGCTCTCTATAATCATTAAATTTTGCTTTCCTAAGGGGGGTGACTATAAAGAAATTTGACTATATAATAAAAATTGAAATTCTTGTTTTATATAAAATCTTAAATTTTATTAATAAATATTTTTTATTTTTATAATAACTAATAAAATTGTAAAATTATATATAATTTATTAATAAAATATAGTCAAAATTAAAATTTTTGTCTTATATAATAATAATTAATACAAAAACAAAAAAAATATTAATAAAATATAGTAAAAATACAAAAAATACAAAATTTTCTTTTATATAAATTTTTTAATTTTATATTAAAATAAAAATAATATTACATATTTTTAAATTTAATTTTATATAATATTTTCTAATTGCATATAAAATTAATAACTTTTTATAATTAAAATATATAAAAAAATTATATATAATTAATAAAGTTAAATTTAAAAAATCTAAAAAAAATATGTTAAAATATGTAATATTATTTTTATTTTGATATAAAAGTTTTCAATTTTATAAGTTATATTTTAATATATATTTTGTTCTGAATTTTTAGATTTTATTTAACAAAGTGATTTAATTACAAAATTATTATAAAAATTTTATAATAACTTTGTAATTAGAATAATTTTATCAAATTAAATCTAAAAATCCAAAAAAAAATATATAATAAAATATTATAATAAATTACCAAAAATTCAAAAAAAGTATAGTAAAATTGAAATTATTTCTTTATAATAAAATTTTTATTTTTATTAGTAAATATTTTTTGTTTTTATATCAAAACAAAAGCTAAGAACTTATATTTTATATTTTTTATAGATTTATTTCGATAATAAAGTTGGTATTTTGGCTAATTTTTTATTTTTGGTTGATAATTAATAGTTAAAATTATCAAAAAAATTAAATTATTATTTTTGTAATTTTTTGTTGTTGATCTGGCCAAATATTTTTTAAAATTGGTCAAAATACCAACTTTGCTTTATAATAACTTAATATTATATCACTCATTTAATAAATATTAAATTAAACAAATAATTAAGTATATAAAATTATTTATTTAATTAAAATAATTATACATAAACAAAGAGTTTATTTTTAAATATATAGTAACTAACAAAATTATGAAAGTAAACATATAATTTTATTAATAAAATATAATAAAACTTGAAACTTTTATCTTATAGTAACTAACAAAATTATAAATAAAATATAGAATAAATTGAAATTTTTGTCTTATATAAAAGTTTTTAATTTTATTAATAATATTTTTTATTTTGATAACAAAATAAAGATTAGAAGTTATATTTTAATATATAATAACTAACAAAATTATGGGATTACACATGTGAGTTTATTAATAAAAATTGGAATTTTGTTTTATATAAAAATTTTCAATTTTATTAATAAATATTTTTATTTTTATATCAAAATAAAAATTATGCATTACAGTTGCTGTCGTGAAGCGACATTCCTCCCGAAGTAAGCAGATGTGAAGAGTTCCGAGCGATATTTTTACCGAAATATGGCAAAAATAGTCACTTGCACATGTAACAAATTGATGATATAGTTATCCATTTCCTGGGTGGTCTACATTATGCATCTCGTTAAAGTAATTTCTTCGAAATATAATCTGCGAAGCAATGACGCTTCATCTTAGGGTGCTTTGCACCCCGAACAACGTGATTTTCCGGATCATTAGACTTTGTTTCAAGGCAATGTCATACCACAGAGTGGGTACACGTAAACGGGATTTTTATTAAAATTGCAAACTTCTTTAATTTGTGCACACACCAAATTTATATAATATTCACCTAACTTGTTGAATGCGGAAATTTTAGCTACTGGATCACCGGCGCATGCAAAAAATAATCAATTTAAACGTGTAATCATATGGATATTGTATAGACTGTCTGCAGAGCGCGTTCATTTTTTGAATGCTGATCATTATCGCAAAAATAATATTACGATTCTTTATTTCATTTAATAAAGATATTTATATATGATACAGTTACGTGGTGGTGGGTAGTAGGATTACTATGTACTATTGAGGATGCAAGCGATTATCTCTTGCTTTAGGTGAAAGCTATATTATTCAAGGAATATCTGTTAGTAAACGATCAGGCCCGGTTGGTTACCGAAGTATACGAACGATTCGTCAGTTCACAAGCTTTCGAACGAAACTTCTATATTAACCAAAGCTTGGACGAAGAATTATTGGATGATTATTATTCAGAGACCGTTGACGTGGGGACGCCGTTCGGATGAAATTCTATGGACGAGATTCGAGAATTTGGCCGATCTTAGACTTTTTGATTCTATTCTTCGAACTCATGGAGGGTTGCAGAATATCGAGTCTATGACTCATCACATGCAATTTCGAAAAGTTTTCAGATATAAAACCATGCGGTAAGACTACGTGAGAAATATTTTCGCTCACCTGTTTTAAACTGCACATAGTAATATTTTTAGATCCAAAACACGTATACAGTGCTCGCCATATATAACGAGAATGCTGTTTTTCCTTATTTGCTATGAAAAATTTACAGATATACAGTTTCATATATTGCGATCCAGTTAACTTAAGACTACTTTATAGAATAAATTATTGTAATTACACTTTAAATGAAACAAAGACAATTAATCTAAATGGTAGTTTTTTTTATTACATCATGAAAATTAATCGAAAACATAAAAATTTAAATATATCGATATATACTTTGATATATTGCAAGCTAATTTTCTTAAGGCAACTTAGTAGCTTAAAATATTAAAAAAAGCCAAAAAGAAAATTTTTTAAGTAAATTTATAGCATTATATCAAAATTAAGATCAAATATTTGAGAATAATAGAAATAAGATATGTTATTAAGTAGTCTTAAAAAACCCCGTTCGCAATATATTAAAGTATATATCTGTAGATTTATATATATTTTCAAGCAGTTTTTTTATAATGTAAAAATAAAAAAGGCATATTTTCCTCATTATATATGACGAGCACTGTTCAGGCACATCTAACACTATCATAGCTAGTATGAATTAAATGCATCAAGAATTCTGAACCTTCCGAACCTAATGATAATGAGGGCTTGAGGATTCGATATCACAAAGTTTGGCCCGATTATACCAGAAAGCGAGTCAAGCATCACTGCGGTGGGAGATTACCGAACTGACGGCTAGAAATCGAGTCTTTAATTAAATTTGTAGATCATTTAGTGCATTATGTATGCTGTATTAACTCCGAGTTTTTTCACCATTTTCAAATGATGTGACGGACGGGGAACAGTCAGCCAATTGATTTACGTGACCAGTTTTTTATTTTTCTTTTCACATTTCTCGAAATGCCCTTCATGCCTTACAAGGTTAGAAAGCGGTAACATAAATGTTAAAACCAACAATAATCTTCGAATACACGTCGAAAGGGTGAATAAAAATATCGTAAGGTTGTACTTTGCAGCTAATCGCGGCGCTCAAGCTCCAATTCCGGTCAATGCTGTTCTTAGGGACGTGACAAGCAATCAAAATGAAGTGCCGTACCGTAACGAGTATTTTTTTACTTGGATTCCCAATTATATATTGCTTCAGAATGGTGTTGAAGTTCTTAGGTTAGATAATCAGAAACAGCAGGCGATTAGGTCAGATTTGAGACGGATTTGATCCAGCATTTGCTGGTTTATAAGAAAATGAGCAAATACATCAAATGAAGTGCAATTTGACAAACCCTGCGAGGTAGTATGTATGTACGCTCTTTACTCAGAATTTATGCTTTTTTTCACCTATGAGATGTCTTAGACTGATGAATAAAGTAATTTTGTGGGGGTCGTGTTTATTAATCTGTTAATCAGATTTGCCTTTCAGCTGAAAATTGAGGGCTTGGCAGGGATCATTGTGGATAAGCAGAAGGTATCCTTTGATCTTCACTGTAACCGTTTCACAATTACGTGTTAACGATTTATCTAGTTACTTCTTTACAAAGTCCATAATTACGGTGGCCACCTTACATGATTGCAAAAATTCAAAATTCGATTCTTGGGCCGTGGATTTTATCGTAAACATATAAAATAAGGTGAGTTTTGTCAGTATATCATTTTTCATTGCACAAGTAAATGAAATAATTAATCTGTCAGTATGAATACCTCTCACATCGGAACTTTCTCCTTGAATATTTAAAAGAACTAGGAATCCTTGCTAGTGGTATTCACATTCCGAAACTGGATCCATGTTCAGGATACCGTGAGGAAGTCATTGCAACTCTCCTAAATCAATAACCATATTACGACATGGACATATTTCATTGAACTTGCATCAAAAAAGATCTCTCACGTACCCAAGTAAAGTGTATCAAAGTTGTCGCCCACCGGTGACTCAGACGATAAATCCGCTAACTCAAGATAGTATGATCGTTGTAGGGGATGATGACACTGCAAGTAATGAAAATAATATCACCATTATGCGAAATCAACCATCAAACCAAGCCATCGTAAATAAAGAAAATGATATTATTTATACGTAAATTCAACCATCTCAACAACTGTCTCCACAATTTGTTAGCGAGCAGGATAAATTACCAGGTCTGTTGCAAGAATTATCCACGCCTACCAAAAGTGAATCCACCGAAGTTGATGAGGACGATGGATCCGAGAATTTTATATCGAAAGACCTAGTCAAATTGTACCAAAAAGCGACCAAAGCGGAAAAACGCGTAACTTTCGCCTATCAGGAAGAGATTCGGTGTTGGTATCACTTCACTGAGAAATTCGAAAAAAGTGTCAAAGATGCTATGGATAATAATAGCCGGCTTAACGATCAACAAGCTAGGAGTCGGGTATACGATGAAGTCGCAAAACATCTTCCTGACTTCACAAGGGAAAGCTTGCGTAAAAAAACTGCGAAGGCGAAATATTTGGGTTGCGTCGTGATCCCATTACTCTGAGATAGTTAAGGGAATCGGAATGGAAAAATCAAACGGATTAAATCGTATAGTGCGGACTGTATATCGAAACTCACTACTACACAAATTCGAAGTATTATTGACACTTTTGCTAACTAATCAAATTATCTTGCTAACTGCGCGTGACTATGCGTGTAGGTGCGAGTGTTCCGGATATGTCTGAAAAAAATAAATTATTGTTAGCATTCGATTATATTACTATATTGAGCCAATTATTTCATAAGTTCGAAAATAAAAAATGTCTCAACCGTCCGTTATTTTTACTAACCATTTCTACTTTTGTCATAGAAATGGAATCAAAGTTGCCGGTAGTTATGTTCGTTAGCATGGATCATTTATTTTTCCTATATAATCTATATGTAGGACAGTTGAATCACAGCTGAACGCACTAGACAATAAAATTACTTTTTCTAGGCAAGTGATCGGCAAGTTCCCTTTTCCAAGGGTAATTTGCCCATCCATACCATGTAGTTATTCCCCTAATATTGTATTCTAACTATATGGTTAAAGTTTAATCAGATGTTACGGAAAAATTTTAATTAACGTTAAAGCTTGTTTTAAAAATTGAATTAGGATTAAGACTGTAGCCGAACTTATATATAAAATTGTCTCCCCGACATTTTTAATTAGTGCTTCAAATTTGATTTAGACACCTGTTTACCGTATTTTCATTTTCTTGTGCCGGATTTGTTTCGCCACCCGTGCCACATGCATCAAACAATATATTCGGCGTAACCGAATAAAAGATCGGTTTGTACACCACATCGATATGTTGTTAGATTTTTATTGGCTGTAGATCCTAAATTTGTCATATATATATCGCTTATTGTTATTTTTTTTTCCCACCAACCTTGTCATTTTTCGTTTTTGCGTTCTTTTGGAGTTATTTACTATGGTAGCTTAGTAGCGGAAGTCGTGAGCGATGGTCTCGCTACTGTTGTGGCCTCGCTATTATGTTGCTTTAGTGGATGACACATAGAACCTCTTCTGTAGAATGCGGTCAGAAGTAAATTTAAAACCGTTATAATTGTGGTATGTTTGGTAGGTGACGCCCAGTAACAAAGTCATTTATCCTCTGTTGACGTGGCCAGAGTATCAAAACCGCTGTGATTGTGGTATGTTTGTTAGGTGACGCCCAGTAACAAAGTCATTTATCCTCTGTTGACGTGGTCAGAGTATCAAAACCATTGTGATTGTGGTATGTTTGGTAGATGATGCCCAGCAACAAAGTCATCTCCCTTCTGTTCGGCAGAGTCAGAAGTAAATCAAAACGTATGATATAAAGGCATATTAGTAGGTGATGCCAACACAAACTCATCCTCTCTTCTGTTTACATGGTCAGAAGTAATCAAAACCGTGCCCGCGGTTAGTGTTCTATCATTGCTAAGACCAATACTCTAACCACGGCAGAAAAAAAAGGTGTGTTCACATACCCAAAGTGTCGGGTCATGTAACTTCCGAAGTGATCATCTGACTCCGGAAAATCTGCCCTGTCAAACATCTCTATTGTGTCCACGCAATTATCTTTCACTCTAAGCATTTTTTAACCTTTTATTAAGATCGTGTTTTACAATGTAATTCTTCATGATATAATTTGTTTGTTTCGAACCAAATTTGTAAACATGATACATGAATCAATAAAATTTTACCAACTACATATTGATATATACAAATATGATCATACGACCAAACCGTTTTTCCCGACCTGCCCAACTTTTCATTTGCTCTGAACACATTTTACCTTTTCAAAATACCCAGAAGCCATCGATATTGGTTTATTACATAATAATATTAGAAGTTTTAAATATTTTGTGTCTTTACATCTATATTTTTAATAATACTCTCAACAAATGGATCCAATAATTTCGGCAAAACTTTTAGCTCGGGCATTGGAGGCAATTGATACCTGCCATACCCATGATCCAAAGGTGACGACCCATCATCAATTGAATTGGACGAAGATCCACTACTTGAAGAACTCGTCTCAAAGTCAACTTTGCCCTTCTTGTCTTCGTCTTCGTCTTTATCTTCATCTTCGTACTCCCCGTCACTCTCCTCTAAAAACTCAATTTCTTCTAAATCGTCTTCGTGTACGCCAACGATATTTTTCAATTCATTATTCATACCTCCAATATAATTTTCGCCGTCACCAGAAATAACACTTTTCAAATTTTCCAAATGTCGCCGTTTTCTTAATGTGTGCCATTCCATTAAATTTTCTAAATCGATGAAGAGTTGTGCCTGTTCTTCATTGTTTAGATGTGTGTTTATTATAAGGTCGAGGTCCAGAGGCTCTTTGAAACCAGTGCGCAAGAAATCGATTATTCCCTGCATCCAATTTAAGAGTGATGTGAATAGGTTGGTAGAGTCTACAGCATATACGGAGTGAACATACGCGTAGAATGGTTGCATGTGTCGATGCGCTAGCGAAACGAATACTTGGACGATTGATTGTGTTGAATCCGTTTGAATGATTGCTGATTTAGGTAAAGTATACGAATGAAATGAATAGGAACGTTTTTTTTAACTAGGTAAATGACGATTAATGAGAAAATTTACCTTTATTCTCTGCTTGTTCGACGACTTTGATCAAGTCATCGACGAAATCAGATAAATCTGGTAACGATTCACCAATATTTGCAGTCTGAAAAGGAAAATGTAAGATTAAAGAATCGAACCAAAGCAAAAGTAATAAAGAATCTACGAAACCAACCTTATAAACCCGAGCTAAAGGTTCATAAAATATGCTGATGAGATCACGCAAGAGATTCCCGGTAACTCCCTAAAACCAATTATTAATTTGATTAATTTATTTCACCCACGATACACAACTCATCCTAGAATTCACGAAATAAAATACCTGAAAAAGCAAATCAATCATCATTTCTTTGTCTCGTTTTCTAATATACAACAGCATTAACTTTTTCAAAATATTTTTTTTACTATGCCCTGTTTTCTCATGAACCTTGGAAAATTCGTCAATTCGTTCTGTCTTAACTTGTGGCTCAAGTGAGCGTGATGCTAAAATTGTGCGAATGAACGATATTGTATCTGTATGCATAAAAATATTATTTGAATTAATATTTACGAGCCTTATTACAAAATGATAGCTCATCATATACCTTTATTCTCTTTGTCTGCTTCTTCTCTTATGGCTGATTGAATTGATGGAGAAGCATACACGTAATTTTGAATCTTTTGACAAATTTCTGGAACATTATGTTTTTCCTGTAATGAATTGATATCTTTTTCAATTTCTTTGATTTCTTCACTTAAATTCATTGATATCATCCTAATAATAAGTAGTAAATGGGAAAGAAATAAGTTATAGAAATTCCAAAATAATATTCTTTCAAATTGATTTTACCTCTGCAATAAACTTCTACTTCCAAAAGGTTGTGCCATGAATAAATTCAACATAGCCTTCATTAACAATAATGGGTTGGATATTTTAAGAATTCCTCGGAGTGCTTTGTATGGCATGAGACTGTGAACACGTTTCAGTTGAGCGAGATTCTCACTGCTGCCATCTGATCCAATGAATAGATAATATAATGTCGATGCAAAACTGAAATTTTTATAATGAAATCATTAGTTTGGTAATGCGAATTTATTAATAATTAAGAAAAATTACTTACTTTATTTCACCAAATTCAAAAAGTTTTTGGTATGACTGCGGTAAATCAGTAATTAAAGATGTTTCCTTGATAATAATAGCAAGATTTGAAAGTCCACCTATTAAAGAAAATAACGTTAGCGAAAAGTTTGTACAACTGAAAAATTATTATTAAATCAAAAAAAAAATAAACCTTGCTCCAACAATCCTTTCTTAAAGTTTTCAACTTGCTGATCCAACTCTTTCGCACGTTTTCCCGCCTCCAAATTAAATATTCGTTGCTGTTCCTCCCTTTTATCATCAAGTTTTCTTCTCTCCTCCATATCTTTCAATTCTTCATCGGTCAGTTTAATAGGATTGCTTGTGAGAAATACGCGTAATGTTTTACTTTTTGCTAATACGCGTATTGATAATAGTGATCGTAGATACGCGCGTAAATTGAGTCGATTATTTTCACATGATTTTGCTAAATTTGGTTCTTTTATTTTAGTGGGTACTAATGGAATTTCGATATCAGGAAATTCTACTTTTAACTATCAAGTGATTAATTATTACATGTATTAGTTGGTAAATTTTAATGTGGATCGTATAAACTTCGGGTATTACCTTCGAGTATAATGCACGGAATTGTTTGTGTCGCCGAGCTACAACAGTCGCATTGCTTTTTGGACGTTTTGTAAGTATTACATATTCCTACATAAAGAATGGTTATTAAATAAGTAATTACCATACAAATAAAACAACGTTAATACATACCAGATGGTAATGATCTCTAAAATGACGCTTGAATTTTACACTTTTCACAGCAACAATATTAAATTCCCATCCATTAACCAAATAACTTCTCAGCTGGTTATTTTCTGTATGCCCAATACCATTTTGTTGCTGTCTATTCCCGTTTATTTCCATTTTCGGTTTCATTTTCTCTTCTTCGCCTTCAAAAGAATCCACGGTAATAACTTCATCTTTTCCCGCGGTAGTCTTACATGCAGCGTTCAACAACAGTGTCAAATTCATAACAATTTTATTCACCAAGTGTCGTCGTTTCGTCGCTTCATTTCTTGTCGATGATCCGCTGATATTCTTTTTTTGAAATTCTTTGATGAATTCCAAGCATTTCACCCAGAAATCTTTTTCGGTATTCGTGAGAAATGGAAAAGTGAGAATGAATTCGGAGAATATAAATTGAAGAAATGGCGTTTGTGTTGATCGTGTAATTTCCAAATTGGGATTATCAGTATTATCAGTAATTGTGGTTGCAATGGTTTCTGTTTGCTGTTGTTCAGAGAGTATTTCAAGCTCTTTTTGTATTTGTCGAGATATTAATTCTTTCTTTAGATAATGAGCTTGAAGTGGTGATATTTGTGTTTCTGTTGGACTTGAATAATCCATTTTACCTTGGTTTTGCGGTGCCTAATCGAATATACAGAAAAAAAATGTTAAATTTCGTATCGTATACATGAAAATTTTACAATCATTACAAACCATTGACATTTATTGCTAATATAAATTATTCGATAGTTTATTTAATTCAACGACTTTTGAGCAAGTCATGTATTTATTGATTTACTGTATTGATCAACAAATATCGATATAGGAAGTCTTAAAAGTTTAGAACAATATTTATCACGTGCACGTTCCAAGGTCTTATTAGTGTTAGTAATGATGTAAACATGACAAACTTATACTCCCATAAAAATAAGGGATAACAATGTAATCATTTCTTTCTGTTCATCGGTTATTATTATTTCTGTTAAAGTCTTGGTTCGGTCCAATCGGCTCCAGAAGCCGAGTTTTTATTGAAAGACAGACTCAAGCACACATGATATTATTCACGTGCACCTATAATAGTTATTGTAATACAAATTTATTTAGCTACGTAAAATATTATTTGCATCATGATAATAACGCTTATTTATCTAATTTATGCTAATTTTTCTAGGATATTGCTTCAGCATATCGAGGCTCAAGAAGGCTGTTTCTTTCAAGGTTGCCGCAGAGAAGGCACGTTCGCAAGGAACACTCGCGGTTTGCAATGCAAAATAATCTGCAGCCATTAAAGCTATGATTAGAAAGCGAAGAGCATTAGCCTTCTATCACAACAGTGGATCGGTATTCAGCCCTGGAGGTTCAAGCACATCGAGATAATCACGAACAAGAGCAGGTTTACGTTTATTTTTTAATTGGTTTTTATCGTAGATTATATTACTAATGATTACATTATTTTGAGACTCTTTTCCAAGATTATAGTCACTTTCGACAGAACTTGAAAACATCTTCAGCTAAAAGACTAGTAAATGGATTTGGAATTGTGAAAAATGGAAACTTGTAAAGAAACAGGAAAGAAGAAAGGATATTTTTATTAAATCGGCTTGATAACAATATGATAAAATAAATAATCTTACCTAATTTATCGAATGCCTTTTGTTTCCCCAGAGATTTTTGTTGAACTGTTTTGGTAATGATCGTCCTGTATATGTTATCATAAATATCTTTTGTTTGTACGTATTCATTACGAACGAAACAATGTCATTCATGTCAATTCGTTCTTGAAAAAACTGTATATATATGGTTACTCCAATCTAGTATCTGATCTATCATGTGACTATTGGGAGACGGTCCCTCCAAGCCTAAACTCAGACTCAAAAGCAACTCGGCAAAAACCGACTCAAAGACTGACTCACATAAGCTTTTTAACAGTCCTATTTGTAACCGATTTTGGAAATTTCACTTCTGAATGATGAGTTGGTGAAATTTACCCCTAATTCTAATTCTCAAAAAAATCAAATCCAAGCAAAATCAAATTCGATAAATAATATATATATATATATATATATAGATATATAAATCGTTAAATTCGATAAATAAATTGAATAGACAAATTCTCATGATCATGCATCTATCGAAATTTCACATATGATATAATTGCGAAATTCTTTGACGGCTTGATAAATAATACTAATTCGTTGCCAGACGATAATTCCAAAAATGACTAAAGACTTTATTTACATTGCTGAAGCCGAACGCCCAACTGCTATTGCAACAATAGAAGCATTAGTAAACACAGGTCCAGCGCACTCGAATAGACGTCTGCATATTACAGCGGCAGTCACCTCAAAGGCTACGGCGGAGACGTGCGCAAAACTTGGTTCCCTGGGATGTAATGTGGTGAGGTTTGACGAAACAGTTCCCGCGCGAATTTCTCTCGGAGAAGTACACAAAATGATGATTGTGCTCTCTCCGGAACGTCTTGATGCTGGTGTCGCTTATATTGAAGCGGCGAAACGCGCCAATGTTCCTTTTGTGTTGTTGGAATCGGTGTTATTAGCCGACGAACGACAAGATCACGTGGGAAAACAATTTGCAGAAGCTGAGAAAAGACTTCAAGCTTTATTTGGTAAAAAGGAATGTGAACCACAACATGAAAAACATCAGGAACCTGGTAATATCAAAGCAAGAGATAATATTTCGCCGGAAGAATGTATTGATGAATTGAGAAAACATCATCATCATTCGCATTGGTCCGTTTTACGTATTGGTATCTATGATCACTATTTGTTGGCATTCAAAGATTGTATTCGTAAGGGTATTTTGGATTTGCCAGTTGGTAATGGAAAGGTTAGTCAATTAGTTTTTTTAGCGTATTCCGATTTTTGGTAATTGTCAAAAAATAATATTAATTCTATTTATTTATTTATTTTATTTATCAGTTTGCTCCTGTCGCTGTAGAAGATGTGAGTTCGAAATATTCTCGTAATATATAAACTATGTTAAATATATTTATAAGAATTTCTATCATTAGGTCGGCAAAGCAGCAGCTCACATCCTTGATAAATCCGAAAATTATAGTGAACGCATTTACAACATTACCGGACCAGAGCTCCTATCCGGTGAAGCTCTCACCAAAGGACTAACCGATATTCTTCATCACCAGCTCACCTACCAGCCAACAAAAGACAAAAATCACATCGAAGAACATCTTACAAAGAATATCACGTCGGTGATTGAACAAACTAACGTCATCGGATTGTATGAACTGGTCAAACAAGGCAAGATGGAGATTGTTAGTCCACACTTTACCGAAATTGAGGCTTTTAGGTCGAAAACTCCTGAGCAATTCTTTTTGGAACATAAGGAAGAATTGATTGGTAGTACAATTTAATTGTTAGTAAAGTGAACATTGTTACCATCTCTTCGTTTTTTCATTTATTATTACATTATTCTAATATATACACCAAAAATATAAATACAAATATAAATATAAATATAATAGTTTCTGATACTGAATGAAACATGAATTCACGATGTAACATGACGAATTACTCTTTTATTCCCCTTATATTATCGAAAAAACATCAAAACTTGTCGTTGTGTGGTTATAGCAAAAATGATCCTAACTCATCAAAAATGCTCCATTGTCATTTTTTCCCTTTTTTGGGAATAGAATATACAAGCATTGTATTTTAAATTTTGAAAATTAAAATCTAAAATACAATTCATTAGCATACAACGTAAAAATACCGGATTTTTCGATTCAATTGTCGTCAATATTAAGTGCATGAATCAGACCTAGTGAGAGGAGTGAAATACGTAAAATACAACAAAAGACGAAATTAAATGCTAAATATGTATAAATAAGGTGCGTGAATTTTGGAAGATTGAAACAACATCGTGACGATACTTTTTTAAAATAGGCTCTTCTTTCTCGATAATCTCTGTCCGAATTTTATTTTTTTTTACTTTTAAATTCTTAGTATTAACCTATTATCTAACATGCATTTTATGCGCAAAAATTCGACAACTTCAATAAAATCCCAATTCTCAATTTCCAGTTTAAGTTCCAATTCGTCGCTTTTCTCAAATATCACGAATTCTACTTGCACCACTGTCAATTCCCAATCAGAAAATGATAACTATAACTACTACAATCATTCATACCATCCAAACGGGTGCGGATACACCATTATTTGGGTGGAGAATGAAGATGTGGCTGTTTATATTCATGGAGAGATGCAAAGAGAAATGATGATGAATTTTGCTACCAATTATAATAGTAATCATAATAGCGGTAACAACGTAACGAGCTCAAACAATAAAAAGAAGAAACGAGGAGATCTAGTCAGGGTAAATTGAAATTTCCTTTTGTATCCACTTTTGAAATATTGTGATCTCGATAACTTATTATTTTTGTTTTGTAGAAATTGAAAAGTACTTTTTCCTCAAGGCAATCCATTTACGAACGCGAAGCGAATCTTCATAAAGACATGGATTTCTGGTGTCGTGGGTGAATTTTTGCAGCAGTTATATAGCATACAATCATTTATTACTTCCATACTATTTATATTTATTATTATTTATATTTATTATTATTTATATTTACTATGTCTATATTATATTATACTATACTACACCATCATATTTCATTATGTATATTTAATCATAATATTATTAAGGTCATTTTATATTTGTATTTTTGGTAGTGTTCTTTAATGCGAGATTATTGCTTTGTATATTAAAGATGGCTGTAAATTTATTAAAATAACTTTGCTTCATAAAGTTGTACAATCGATTTAACGATATCATATGTTTTGGGCAAAATTCATCTTTGCTAAATAGTACCAGAATCCTAGTTATACCTATCAAATAATCACTAATTCGACCCAATAATGTACTAAAGATAATTTACTGCTCCCAATGTTTTAAAGTTCTTTTATATGTTTAAATAATATTTCTGTATAAATACGTTTTATTGCAACTTTGTCAGAATGAATTCAAGCTTTATTGGAGTACCTGGTTTTGTAATATTAATATAAAAATATAATTATATTCATAGAATTGCCTATATTAATTACATACGTATTCAGGTTTGATGTATCCAAATTTTGCGAGAAGTTACATATCAATATCATGTCTTTAATGCATGGTACGTAAATTTTTTCAGTTACATGTACGAGTTTTTGCGATGCGATATCGATATTATTGATATTATTTAATTTCTATTGGCTATGATCACTATATCTGATAAAAAATTATTGATAGATTTTGAGAAAACTCGAAAAAAATGAAATTAGGGTTTAAGGTAAGAATAATGACTATTCAAAAATTATACTTTACCTATTTATGAAGGTTGTGTGCATTCACTTATATAATAATTTTTTTATTTTCACGCGACAAGTTTTCAAATCTATGTGGTACCGTGTACACACAAGGAAACCTGCTGTTCACGCCTGATGGGAACTCAATACTGAGCCCAGTTGGGAATAGGATATCGATGTTTGATCTTGTAAAGTGTGCATTAAAATCTATCTTTACTATTAATTGATTGATTGATCGATTGTGTCATTGAAAATTCAAAAGTCAATTATCCAAATATTGATAAATAGCAACAAGACAATCACATTTCCTTTCGAGAATCGAATGAATATTTCTCGAATAGCTCTTTCTCCAAATGCAAACATTTTGATTTCAGTCGATGAAAGTATGTATATAAAAAATTTTCAAATCAAATCAAATCCTGTCTAATATTGAGATGTTGCATTATTCATGTTGAATAGACGGTAAATGTTTATTGATTAATTTCCCTCGACGTGTCGTGTTGAGTGAATTCAATTTTAACTCTAAAGTTGTTGATTTGCAATTTAGCCCTGATGGGAAGTATCCTTATTATCTAAGATTTGATTAATCCTCCATGTGAGGGAGCAATTACACGTCAATCATCATTTTGGTTCTTATTTTGAACTATTAGATTTTTATTCTATTATTCCTTAACCCTGTTTTGTTTCAATTAGATTCTTTGCGGTAACACATGGAAAACAAGTACATGTTTGGAGTTCACCTGGATTTAATCGTGAATTCGCACCATTTGTTTTGCATCGTAAATATACTGGGCATTATGATGACGTTACTTCTATTACATGGTCTCCGGATGGCCAGTAAGTAATTGGTTAAATGATAGATTGCTTACCGATTAATAAATCATTGATTTTATTGTTTACAGATATTTTTTGACAACTTCAAAAGACATGACCGCGAAAATTTTTTCACTTGATCATATTGGTGGATTCATACCAATAACATTAAGTGGTCATCGTGATACAGTAATCGGTGCTTATTATTCAAAAGACGGGAAATATGTAATTTGACTAAATTTTTTATTCTTTTTTTTATACATTTATGTATCAATTAATCCACCAGTTAATTTTTCTAGATTTACACTGTGAGCAAAGATGGCTCATTATTTATTCGAGAATCTAAAGCTGACAAAGGTGATAGTGATGAGGATGATGATGATGATATGGCTATTGATATTGATAAAGCACAAGAAGATAATTTAACCAAAAAAAAGAAAAAGAAGCGTTGGCTTAATATTATTGAAAGATATTACTTTAATCAGGATGGTGCAAAAGTCGTGTGCAGTTTTTATCATTTAGAGTCGAAGCTTTTGGTGGTTGGATTTTCATCTGGAATTTTTGGTATTTGGGAGATGCCAGAATTTAATAATATACATACATTGAGGTAAATAATTAAAATTCCTTAGCCAGTACAATTGTCCGGTTCATTATATTAATTATTTTAACTCGCAGTATTTCACAGAAAAAGATCAATTCCGTGACAATAAATTCAACGGGTGAATGGCTTGCATTTGGTTCTTCGAAACTTGGTCAATTATTAGTATGGGAATGGCAATCAGAATCATATGTTCTTAAACAACAAGGTCACTTTTATGACATGAATTCCATTGCATATTCATCCGATGGGCAATATATCGCTACAGGAGGCGATGATTCAAAAGTAAAAGTATGGAACACGACTACCGGATTTTGTTTTGTAACATTTTCTGAGCATAGCTCAGGCATATCAGTGGTAGAATTTGCAAAACAGGGTCAAGTATTATTCTCGGCTTCATTAGACGGCACAGTGCGTGCATTCGATTTAATACGATACAGAAATTTCCGTACTTTTACTTCACCAACACCTGTACAATTCACAGCACTAGCTGTTGATCCCAGTGGAGAAATAGTATGTGCGGGGTCAATGAATACATTTGAAATTTTCGTGTGGTCGGTGCAAACAGGGAAATTATTGGATATTTTATCAGGGCATGAAGGATCGATTTCTAGTCTGGCATTTAGTCCAACTGGGATACTTTTGGCTTCAGGATCGTGGGATTGTACAGTGCGTACTTGGGATGTCTTTGGTCGTGGAAGTCATGTTGAAGTATTTCGTCATAGTCATGATGTATTGGCGATTGCTTTCCGACCTGATGGTAAAGAATTGGCTGTTACCACTTTAGACGGATTAATCTCTTTTTGGGACGTTGAACATGGCACTCAAACGCACGAAATTGAGGGTCGTAAAGATATTTCAGGTGGTAGAAAAGAAACTGATCGTCAAACAGCCGCAAATTCATCGTCCGGAAAATCATTTAATAGTGTATGCTATACCGCGGACGGGTCAGGTATCATTGCGGGAGGAAATAGCAAACATGTTTGCATATACGATGTAAAGACTTCAATACTTTTAAAGAAATTTGAGATTTCGCGTAATCTGTCGTTAGACGGTGTACGTGAGTTTCTCAATAGTAAACGAATGACTGAAGCTGGACCGATTGGACTATTTGACGACACTGGAGATCTGAGCGATTTAGAAGATCGAATGGACAATAGCTTACCTGGGACACAAAAAGGAGACTTATCCGTACGGAAAACAAATCCTGTAATCCGAACTAAATCTGTCAAGTTCTCCCCGACTGGTCGATCATGGGCCGCCGCCTCTACTGAAGGTTTAATAATTTATTCGTTAGACGAAACATTACTATTTGACCCATTTGAATTAGAAATCGATATTACACCAGTTTCCGTACTTGAAATGTCTCACCAAAAAGAATATCTGAAAGGTTTAGTGATGGCTTTTCGGCTAAATGAAACCTATATAATAAATCAAGTCTACGAAGCAGTACCACCATCTGAGATCGGATTGATCGTGAAAGAATTGCCGGATCGATATATTGAACGACTACTCAAATTTATTGTTATTCAAATGGAACAACAATCACCACATATAGAGTTCCACATGTTATGGATTATGCGGTTGTTCATGGCTCATGCAAAATGGATTAGACAGGAAAGTCGCGGTCAACTAGCTGCTGTATTGAGAGGATTGCAGAAAGTTGTTGCTCAGGCTAAAGAAGATTTAGGAAAAGTGTGAGTTTTCTCCGATTCTATTTATCTTTGGAAGTAAGCGATTTTTTTAATTTTAATTATTTGTTTATAGATGCGATGACAATACATATATGCTGAAATATCTTATATCGGAATGTAAAAAACAAGAACACATGGTTGAACACCAAGAGATAAAAGAAATGTTAACAGACCAATAATAATCGAAATAAAATAAATCTATTCAAATAAAACTTTGTGATGAATTATTTTAATCTTTAAAGATTTTTGTTCTAAATCGTAACTTTAATTATATAAGCATATCATATTATATAAGAAATATCGGAGCAATATTTTTAATGTAAGCGATGCCTAGGATATATATTTCTTCCCGCAAAATAGGGAATAAAATCCAAAGCTTCACCCCCATAGGAAAATTGCTCTTCGAATATTTTTTGATTCAGCAAAGATACATCAGAATGTACTGCAAAGCAAGTTTCAATTTCAGCTCGAGTATAATCATCCAAGTTTTCGGACCTACATGATAATTATTTATGATGTTAATAAACGAAATTTCATACACTTTTTCAAGAGCTAAAACTAAAAAGAACTTGCAAATTGTCTGAATAATCATCATAAAGAGATCTTGAGACCGAGTTTTCTTCACCTCCAATCGGTTGTTCCGAAAGCCATTCATGTTTATTATTACTATCAAAGAAATAAATTTCATTCTCGTCTTTTTCATCTTCATTCAAGTTATCGATCATTTGAATGGCATTTTCTATCTCAAGTAGACCTTCATTTGGTAGATTGATAATGTTTCTTGTTATGTTGTCAGTAACATCGCAATCTCCAATGATTTCATCAAAGTCATAATCTTGAGTCAAATTTCTTTCGGTAAGAGCCACATGAACATCAGGATTAAAATCATTGCAATTATTATTGCTATTTGAATTGCTATTATCAGTGACTCGGTAGTCCAAGTCGTTGATCATTCTAATTATCTCATCGTTTCTGATACTAGTGGCAGGAGAGGCTGCTTGGGACAAAGTTATTCCTTCATTTCTTTCTTCAGAGTGTCTCATTTCATCATCATCATCGCCATCATTATTGACGAGAGATTGTGAATCATTTTCAGTATTCAAGCTGTCTTTTGGAGTAATATCTTGTTCTTCATTATCTGGTGGCTCTTTTGCAATTTGCTCAATTTCTTGGCCTGTTTGAAGTTCTTTTTTGTCTTCGGATGCATCTATTGGCTCTAGAATTTTTTCGATGTCAGTTTGACTGGTTTCAAGTTCATCTTTTTTCTGAGACATAGATTGTTGAGGCATTGAAGACTCTCCTGAAATAGTGTCAATCTCGTTCAGTTCATCGTTCAATATATCTTTCTCAAGAAAAACATCCGACGGGGTAGCGTTTACTTTAGCAACTGAGGATTTCTTTGGGGGATGTTTTTCGGGCATCTTTCGCATGTTCGAATTATTTTTCTCATGATTTTCAAAAAATAATTTTGCAGAGGTTGCTTTCGTCTTCGTGACCTTAGATCTTTTGGGCGGCTCCACATCTATAATCATATAATCCTCGAAAATGCTATTACTTTTACTTGATGCTAAGCTTGATTTTTCAAGAGATTCTTCTGATACCGTTGTCGTAACCTTGGTCCTCTTCTTTTGCACAGGATGAGGATACTGTAGAGAATAACTCTCATCTTCACTTGACAGACATGTTCTTTTTCTCGAGTCGTCATCCAGAAAATGAACCTCTGAAAAAACCAAATCTGGCACTCCTTTAGTCACAACTTTCTTCGAAGCCTTGCCTTTATTAAAAATTCCATGGTGACTGCTTTTATCTTTTGATTTCAATGTAATTCGTTCACTTCCAATCTTATTTGAGATAAAATTCTGGACTACTCGAGAGCTTGCCATTAGACTCTTGGTATTATTAATTTTTCCTCTCTTCTTAGATGTCACCCTCTCTCGTCCTTTTTTCTTGTAATCAAATTTTGACTTGTTCGCAGAAGCATTTTTCTTAGTTGTTGACGGGATTGAGTTTCTGCTAACTTGTTTATTTGATGATGACTGTGTTCTTTTTGATTTATGTCGTTGGTGGGATCGCGGCTCCAAGTAAGAATCATTTGTGTTAGAATTATCGTCTTCATCATCTATATTCAATGAGCGTTCTCTAGATCTAATATTTTTGTTTTTGCTGTCTTTTCTAATAATAGATGAGTTAATGTAAAAATACCTGATAATTTGTGATTATGTTCCAAGTGAGCACTGTCAAAGAGTCGTATATTAGTAAATGTGAAAATATCTTTTTAAACTAAAATGTTTAAAATAATGTACCTTCTTTTTTTCAACGAAGTATTTTGATTACTACCGACTCTCTCGACTGGAATTCCTCTTCTAAGTCGGGTACTTATAAATTCCTCGTCTTCAGAAACAAGATCAGTTTCTAGCGGTGTTGGTGTCTTCTGCTGCCCAGGTTTTTTATCGTTCCTCATGTTCTTGTGCTTTTTCAAAACAGATTTGAAAGTTGTAGTTTCTTCTTCAAAATTAGGCTCAAAATGTGAATAATAATCTGTTCCTATGCGTGATTGTTGGATCGTTGCAAATGCCAAAGTGTCCTGTTGCTTAATTTCCAAAGTATCAGCAAATGTTTGAATGTGTCTTTCAAGATTTTGTCTCGTTAAGCTACAAAGTTTGTTAGAATTGTCAAATTTGATACTTGTCATTTTGTAATGAAATTAACAAAGATCACTAATACTGATACTATTTTTCGTGTTGAACGCATGTCTCCAAAAATGGAATGGTTCAAAAAGAAATACGCTCTCGGTCGGGGAATTGAACCCCGGTCTCCCGCGTGACAGGCGGGGATACTAACCACTATACTAACCGAGACTTTTCGGGTTGGTGAAATTAGATTATTTAAGTACAATAATATTATAATTTAGCAAGTGAACAATGTAATTGGCTATTTCATCAATTAGTAATATTAGTAATAAAATTCCGTAGAAAATTAACTTCGTGCGTTTCGTTTACTAACTCCTCTCTTCTCGCATTATTTCAGCTAAAAATCATGGAAGCAACAACATTAACAACAATTAACCTCCCAAGCTTCACCGCTTCAGTCCCACAAAAGCCTCGATCACAATTGTTCACCTGTCTAGCGTGTCAAGTTACTTTCCCAGCAGCAGATCTGCAAAGAGAGCATTACGGGACAGACTGGCACCGTTATAACTTGAAACGTAAAGTTGCAGAATTGCCTCCTATTACCGCTGAACTTTTTACGCAAAAGGTTTTAGCGCAACAGGTGCAGAATAGAGATAACGAGGCTAAGGCATCGTTTTCTGCGGCGTGTGATGCATGTGGGTAGGTAATCATTAAGCACAAAATTTAACATAAACTGTTTCGGAAATATATACTGATTTTAATATTTGAAAAATAATAGTAAAATATATTACTCAGAGAATGCTTATTCCAATCATTTGCAATCAAATAAACATAAATTGGCGGAAATTAAGGCTGCGCAAGAAGGTATAGTCCCTTGCCGAAGTTCATTATTTTTTGGTGAGCTATCAAGTTTAAAATTAATGGCAATCTATTAATGATTTAATTCTTGATTTCTAAAGGGGTTAAGCAATCAAAGAAACCATTAACAGAAAAAAATATTGATACAAATACTACAAATAAAGATGTATCCACTGCTATGATCACCGAAGAAACAACAGAAGTATGTATAGTATGCAATCGATTTCAGCAACTGCCGTTAATTAATATAATTTAACTTCTTTTAAATCAGGCTGAACTTCAAGAAATAATGACGAAAAAAATAGCATCAGCTGTGAAACTTACCGAACTGGACTGTTTATTTTGTGTTCACAAATCCTCGACATTCGAATCAAATCTTCAACACATGACGAAAGCTCATAACTTTTTTATTCCAGATTTAGAGTATTTGGTGGATTTGCGTGGGTTAATAAAATATCTGGGCGAGAAAATTACAGTTGGGAATATTTGTTTGTACTGTGGTAGGGGACTGAGAAGTACGGAAGCTGTTAGAAAGCACATGGCAAGTGTCTAAGAGATTACGCGTATAATTGGTTTTGAATTTTTATTTCTATTAAACATGATATTTAAATAAAATATTTTCGTATTTAATAGATTGATAAAGGTCATTGCAAGGTTGCGTATGATCGTGAAGAAGATATTATGGATATTGTCGACTATTATGATTTCTCTTCAAGTTATCCAGATGAGGAATGGGAGGACATAGAGGACGATGAAGAGGTAGGGGATGAAGAAATCCTGGTTGAAGATAGATCTGGTGAAATTAATGCTAAAAAGTTACCTGAAAGGTAATCTTTATTTGATTGGTATTTTTAGATATTTTGTAATGAGCTTTACTTACCATCGAATTGCTTTTGAAAAAAATAGAGCCGACGTATTTTATACAGATAATGAAACAGAATTAATATTGCCGTCAGGCGCGCGTATTGGACACCGCTCTCTGCAGCGATACTATAAACAATATTTACGTCCTCGAGAGGTAATTTTTATTAAATAAAATATTTTATATTCCATTCTTCGGCTCCTTCACATTCATTGCTATTTTATTTAGCCACGAGAAAACGCAACAGTGAATCGGTTGCTTACGGATTATTCGCGTGATTTTGGGTATCAACGTACATCGAGAACTCGTGAGTCCGGAATTATGGTAACACATCCTGTTGATAAAAATGCAGATACGGCAACGCGTGTTGCATTCAAGGATAAACGAAGACAACACGAGTTTGATGTGCGTGTTGGTATCAAAGCAAACAAGTTGCAACGATATTTTCGCGCTCAAATACTTTAGGCTATCATTAGAATTTGTCATTAGTGATAAATTTATCCATATAGCGAGTTGTGCTTTTCGTGATATGTAATAATAAATTTTGGAGCAATTTACTTTATTGACATTGGTTTTATGCAACAAAAAAGTAAAATTATATATATGAAATCCACCAATTTAATAAATACATGTTTTTATTGACCCATTTACGCCTCTATATTGTTAACGTGTCTCTACCCATTCCTATTTTCCAAAAATTAAGAGCAAATGTTTACAAATTTTGAGTAAAAAAAAAATAAATTGCGCTTCAAGTTTTTCCAAATAAATAGCGAGATCCTCGACTCAATATGAAAAATGCCAAAATTGTTCGGGTAAAAATGGCTATAAGTAATGCTTTTCTTACGGCAGAATAATAATCTATCCATCCGTTTGCCCACTTTCTTCTATTTTTTTTTAAAAAGAAATTAAAAATGTTCTGAATAAATTCGTAATATAAAAATTGAATTTACCTTCTTGTAGCGAGCTCCATTTTTTTCCGTCGATAATCTCCGCGATTATTTCTTAAAAAGCACCAAATGAAGAAATTCACATCAGGATAATCAAATTTTGGTCGTATCGCGTCTAATCGACGTGGAGGTTCTTCGCCTATCAAATACATCATGTCCATTAGATCACTAGTCATTTGAAGAGTTAACCCCCAAAGTTGCAAATACTCTGTTGATTGACTAGTGCTATTAATAATAGGAGTAGGAGTAGCAGTAGCAGTAATGTCATCATTGTTATTGATATTCTGATTTTTGATAGTTTCAACAGAGGGCAGTTTAATACAATGAAAATGCAGTCGACCGGTCAAAGTTTGTAACATTCGTTGCAAGACCCAAGAATTGGGCGCAAGACGCGAGGAAATATCGACAGAAATTGGATCCCATGTTCTAGTGATTTTTTCGTCGAAAAAGTAGGCGAGAGGAACCCAATGAGTGGAAGCTACTTCAGAACCGGAAATTTCTATTTGTAATGGCTCTGGTGTGGTTTGGAGGAAAACTGCAAAAAGCAAGAGATTAATTAATTAAATATTGGTTAACAAGGAAAAACAAAATGTGAGAAATTAAGAAACATTACCAAACGGACAAAGAATCATGAGTAATTTTTTTCCAAATGTTGTAGTGACCTCTCGATCATCCAATGCGCCAACACAATAAAATTGTTCAGGATTTCCGAGATCCAATCCGACTTTGTAAAAAATGCAAATAACATGGAATGTTTAAAAGAATACTAATAAAATAGTAGCATTTGTAAAAAAGCATATTGGTTAGCACCTTCTTCGAATGTTTCCCGCTCTGCCGTATCCAAATCATCAACATCCACGGGATCTTGTTTTCCTCCCGGGAATGCCATTTGCCCGCTCCATCGATCTCCTTCTCTCAAAGCACGCTTAATATACAATATTTCAGGTACGCCTTTCTGGACCCAAGGCAATTCCCAAAACTGCTCGAGATCTGTCATGACACTTGTATTAGTTTGCCTTGCATCTTGTATTGAAAGAGGTATTTGTTCAAGTGTATGATTTGTAGTAGTAGTAGTAGTGGTGGTGGTGGTGGTGGTGAAAGAAGAAATGGGTACTTGAGGTCGAATACGTATTATTATCGAGACGCTTGCTCGACGCGGTTGTGTTGAAGGTGATTTGATTTTTGTCGGAGGTATTTTTGAAAGGTTCAAGAGGGCGATACGTAGACGTCCAAGCGGACCCACTTATAAAAGAGATAATATTTTTGATTCAGGTTAAGCTAAGAAACTTTATGAGAATGCGCGCCGAAAAACGACAAAGATTAGCAACAAGTCTGAACTTACCAGTTGGAGACATGGCTCTTTGACGTTTATATTCGCGAGAATGAGGAAAATGAAAGACTAAAAGATATATACCATACCTTCAAAAAAAGAGGCTTAAAGGAAGAGAGGTGGTCAAAGGGTTTTTATCGTTAATTATCAAGAGTATGACAACTTGGAGGGCATATGATGTAGATCGAATAGTTGGATCAAGTGATTATGGGGAAATGTGGGGAAAAGTCAACGACCCCCAAAAAATATTAGTCTTTTTGTTTGATTGATAATTTTTGAATAGGGAAGAGTTGTCTATTGTTAGAAGAAATCGGAAATTTTTTTTATTAATTTTAATTGATTTAATCGATTTCCAATATCGATAGCGATTTAGATGCACCTTGTGTATATTTCGTATCATTGGTGGATCACTTAACGCTAACGATTTCGTTACGAGTTAAGGGATTCAATCGATCGCTGTTGTGTTATTGTTTCTCAGAGAAAGGGTGGGAATTTAACTTATTGTTCATTCATACTATTGGTGAATATAGAAATTGTGGGGTAAAATAATAACATTTTTAAAAACCTGTTTTATTGTAGCACGACAATTTAATAATTCCGTGTTGATCAAGAGAACATATTTTTTCGTAACTTAGCTTAAGCTTACTGGTTTTTGATTCGGATAACTTCCTAAAATCACTACATCAAGACAATATTGATTTAATTCGTTCAAGGCTTTCTTGACTTCCTCTTGTTCTTTATGACCCTGGAATTCAATGAAAAAAACATAATGCCAAGGACGCATCAAGGAAGGACGAGTATCAATTTTTGTCAGATTGATGTCATAATCTTTGAAAACTTTAAGGGCATCGCAGAGAGCTCCAGACTGTCTATGATCCAATGTGAATAGAATAAAAGTCTTGTCTTCGATAGTTGGGGCATCAGAAGATGTGCCGATTACAAAGAAACGAGTTATGTTATCTAAAATAAAACGTATGAGATACAATCGATCGATCCATATACACGTATGAAATAAAATGAACATCAAATTACTTTGACTATCTTCAATATTGCGTTCTAAAATATTCAATCCGTAGAGTTGAGCGCAGCCTATATTGGCAATTGCCGCTGCATTTGGCTCTGCTGCTGCCAACTGTGCCGCTTGACTAGTGGATCCGGCTTCCACGCGTTCAACAGTTTTTAGATTGTGATCAAGCCATTTTTGGCATTGCCCAAATGCCTTCAAGGATAAAGAGTAAATGTGTGAAATTGTGATTGATTTCACGTGGACAGAAATAATTACTAACCTGAGGATGACTGTAGACACGTTTTAGACTCGAAATCTTGGAATTAGACAGAAGACAATGGTGTATCTTGGATCGCAGCAATACTTTAGGGTGAATTAGAGCTTGCGATTTATTTATCCTGGTATAGGATTTTAGCGATTGCCAGATTTTTTATGAGGGATTAGGAATTACCTGTAAATAAGTCTCTGCCCTAATTTGAACTTTCGAGGAAATAAAGCGATCTAAGGTTGTTACTACGGATCCAAATGTGGAGTTCTCAAAAGGTATTATGCCATACGTTGAATGACCGTGTTCAACTGCATCGAACACGTCTAAATAGATTGTCAAACAAAATTTATTTCTCCTGATCCGGAAAATACAGCAAAAAGTCAACACATTTACCAGGTATGCTTAATTTGGGCAAATATTGTACACTCTCACCAAACCTCTCGCGTGCTGCCTAAAAGTTCATAGAGAAAAACCAAAATTAGAAATTTTCAAGTGGAATAATCTAAAAATTCCTTATGCAGATTACCTGATGCGTATTGGATCCCTCAGGTCCGAAATAGCTTATCGATATTGCCTTTTGTAAGGAGATTGATGCGGACATAATTTCTCGATAGATCGCACATAATGATTCAGACGCAAGAGGACCGTAATTTAATCGCTGAAGCTTTAATCATGTTAAGCATATTAAGTCCAAAATAACACGAAACTAAAGAAATAACTTTTCCTAGGATTTTAACAGTACCTTTTCAAAAACTTGCTTTTCGCGTCCTGGAATATATACGTGAGTTTCCTTTTCTTCGTCCTCTGGACTAAAAAGATGAATACCTTTATGGTTAATTTGAATTGTGATTGTCAACATAACTTACTCCGACCTACTTTATGGTGATAGCTTCTTTTTTGGCCTTGCCGATATTCAAAGAAATTCGAGCACGTTCATTAAGCAAGTTCACGAGTTTCGTGTCTATATTATCAATGTCTTGGCGAAGTTTCGGAAGTTCCATAATTCACAAATAAATATCTAAATCTCACTTTTTTTTGAAAAATTTTATATACGCTTTTTTTTAATGACGAATTGTTACAAGTATTACAAAAGAATCCTATCCCGATATTGTTTCAGATTTGATCTATTCGATTTTTAGTTAAATAATAAATCTTAACAATGTTTAATCTATTAAAAAGAGTTGGATTAGCACAAAAAGAAAAATTTACCAATATTCCAAAATCAAAAATAATAAAAACGGGGCAAACAGTATCACGACTTGGTTTTGGCGGGTATCGAGTAGTACAGCAAAATTCGCAACATCGTTTATCATTGTACAAGTCGATTCAGAATGGGATAAATGTGATTGATACGAGTACACATTTTGAAGTCGGAAAGAGTGAAGAAATGATTGGGGAAGTGGTGGAGGATATGATCAAGCGTAAAATGAAAAATCGAGAGGTTTCTGTCATTTTTTAAATCGTAGATTCCACCTCGGTTGTTATGCGATTGAAAGATGATAATTTTTATATATATAGGAGATTGTTGTTATATCGAAAGCAGGATATGTTAATACCGACGACGCTTCACATTTAGATGATACCCGATTTGCAAAGATTAATAAAAATTTAGCGCATTCTATATCCACGGATTTTTTGGAGAAAGAGATCAGCGAATCTTTAAGGAGATTACGCATGAAAAAAGTGGATATATTTATGATCAATAATCCAGAGCGAATCTTGAAAGCAACGAATAAAGTAATCTAGCTGAAAACATTTTCTTTCAGAGTACAAATCTTTTAGTCTGAAATTTTATTTTTCTTAAAGTCATACTCATTGGATCGATTATATAAAGATATAACGACCGCGTGTATATTTCTTGATGAAGAATGCAAAAAAGGTGAGGAACAATTTAATTTTTATTGAAGTTAAAAAATAAAAAAATATACTACTCGAACACGTAATTATGATGTACAGGTAGAATCGGCGGGTATGGCATCTGCTCAAATTCAATGGCGATTCCGAAAGCAATCGATCACATTTCCTTACCTAAGATTCTGGCCGACTTGCCAGTCAACAGTCGGCATAATTTGGTAGCCATAGAAACGCCGTTAAATATTTTTGAACGGGATGTTCTAGAAAGGAATGGTGAACTTCATTCCTTAGCAGATATAGCAAAAGTATAAAAATTGAATTATTAAAAGGATCGTCAACGAAATGCTAAAATTCTCTTTCTATCTTTTAGATGAATGATATTTCCTTGTTCACTAATCGTCCATTGCATGCAATTGCCGGTGGGATGATACATAAATTAGCGAACAATAAAGATGATATATCGTGTGAGTGTAAAGAATTTTTGAGTTAAATGTATTCAACCTCAGCTAACGATAAACCGTGTTTCGGTAAAGCCGATCAAAAAGTTCTCGATAATCTGGAACTTAGTTTCAAAAATTTGAATGAACTTGAAAGTAAACTAAGTGAAACACGTAAGTTGTTAACAAAACAAGAAAATCCCTGTATTTTATCGTATTACATGATGGAACTCATCTTCTCCCTTGATCATTTACTTACAAGCCAGTATTAGTTTTCCAATCTCAGCAAAGTTTGTCTGGTCTAACGTATTAGCTGAGAATTTGGCACGATTATCAAAAAGTTACTTTTCCGCAAGTCATTATCTCGAAAAGGAGGTGCTACCTTCAATTATGCGTGATTTAAAAGATCTATCGGACTACGATAAAAGTACAGAAAAATTGGACAATGAAGAGTTTCGTCTTGGAGTTTGGATTTCCGATTATGAAAAAGTAAGTTTCTAATGTGTATCTCTTGATTGATTCGGTATTTATAATAAAAGTTCATTTTCCTTTTATTGTTAGCAATCAAGATGTCTAATTAAGCACATCTTATCATACACTCGTGTACAAGAATTACAGAGAAATGACGAATTAGAAACACTCATCACGACTTTCTCTCCTTCATTATCAGAATCCTATTCACCCGAAGAAGGCACGAAGTTTAAGTTATTTGATGACGTGATTACTCAATACTCTCCACTATCAGTAAAAGCATTAAGAATCGTATTGGCTGATCAACGCGTTGGATGCACGTTAGTCGGGATGAGAAGACCAGAGCATGTTGAAGATGCTTTACTAGCTTTAGAATTACATCAGAAAGAGCATGATAATGAAGACATTTTTCCTAGTGATTCATTTAAAGTAATTGATGATTGGATACAAAACGCAGTAAATGTTTAAAATACAGTCATCCTCCCACATAGTCACATCTTAATAAAACCTGTACCATTGTTTTGACCAATCACTAAACGTAGTAAAAAAAAACTTCTATACAGTCACAACCTCTTTATATTCACACTATTGAAAATAATTCATACCAAAAATAAGAAATCTGGCTGATTTTATATATCTCACAAGTTCACGTGACGGTAAGGTTTTGCGTACAAAATCCTGATAGGTAGATATTAAACCCTATGTTTCGCGTCTTTCAACCTTTTCTAACGAAAAAAGTTATGCCTCTAAAAAGAAAAGTTGCAAATAAAGTTTCTCCCGTTACTATAAATTCTTACTTTAAAAAGATAAGTGACGCTAAACAACTCAGCTCCGAAAAGCCGGAAGACCAAGAAAACGACGTGTTTGCCGTTCCAATGAGTGACCGCGAAGAGTCTACGCGTCCTGCGAAGCGACCGAAAAAGTCTAATGACCCTGAGCAGCAGCCTTCGAAAGAAAAAGGCAAACAGAAAGAAATTAAAGTTGAGGAACCAGCAAAGAAACCAGTAACTAGAAAAACTTCCAAGGCGAAAAAAGACAACGAAGAGTCTACTGCTATTTCCACTGTTCCAACAAATACCACCATGCCTAAACAACTATCTTTTCCAGCAAAACCCGAAGGAACAACAAAGTTTGCGTCTTGGAATGTTAGTGGGCTAAAAGCCTCACTTAAAAAGGTTAATTTTGAATATATATTAGCGGAATGTTGCTTAATCCACAACAGTATTATGTTTAAGACGCGTATTATAGGGCTTTAAATTCTATGTGGAAACTGAAGACCCTGATATCTTGTGCTTACAAGAGACTAAAGTAAATGAACCAATGCATGATATTGTGGATGAACGAAAGTACAAGTGTCGAGAGTGGGCATTTGAAGATAAAAAAGGATATGGTTAATATAAAACTTTTAACTTCATAAATTTAGGCATTTTTATCTTTAAATTCAATTTATGTAGGTGGTGTTGCGATTTTCTCGAAAATTGAACCTGTTTCAAAAACTCATGGTCTTCCTACTCATCCGAAGCCTGATACCACGAAGGGTCGCATAATCACGCTCGAGTTCCCTACTTTGTATTATGTCGCGTGTTATGTTCCAAATGCTGGCGATAAATTAGTCCGATTGAATGAAAAACTTGAATGGAATCGTGCCATGGAAAAATATCTTCGTGAATTGGACGCAAAGAAACCTGTTATTTGGACAGGGTAAGAATTTTCGTGATAAAGAAAATTGATTTTCAAATATAATAATTCGTATCATTTTCTGTTTATTTAGAGACTTGAATGTTGCCCATAAAGAAATTGATCTGGCAAAACCTGAAACTAATTCAAAGTAAGTTATTGAATTTTATAGTAAATTGGGTTATGATAGCATGGTTAAAAATTAATGAATGAATGCATAAAGAACTGCTGGATTCACTCGAGAAGAACGTCAAGATTTCGAAAAAATTTTGAATGGAGACGAAAACAAGTTTATCGATACTTGGCGCCACTTCCACCCAGACACCAAAGGTGTCTACACATATTATTCGTATAGATTTCAGGCACGTACTAAAGGAATTGGCTGGCGTCTGGACTATCACGTAGTAAGTGAAAGATTGTTGGATAGAGTCGTCGAAAGCGAAACGAGGTAAATAAATTTCTATGGAATAATTCTGTTTTATGATTGCTATAATTAAATACACCAAGTAATTTCTTACTCTAAAAATTATAAGGAGCGAATGTTGGGGTGCTAGTGACCATGTTCCTTTGGTTTTATTGCTCAAAGATGATTTGTAGGTAATTTTTAACGAATGTAAAATGAGCTAAAGAGGGTAAGGGTAAAGGTGATAGTAATGGTAATAATAATAGTAATAGCATAATGATATAATACTAGTCATATTTTTATTATCTTTCATTTCTACAGTTTAATATAATAAAACGCAGCCTTTAAATAAAATATCTTAATCTGCTCAATACTCTCTTAGTGCTAGTAATAAAAACCAGACAGTATCTTTGAATAATAGTTACTCAAAAAATCACCTTTAATTTATTTAATCAAAAGTCTTCGAAATCATCTTCCACGCCATTAACAGCTGTAAATAAAAACAATGTAAAACTGCTCAAAAAGTGCATCTCGAATCCCGCATATAAACTACCAATCCCATAATTATCAAACCAACTTCGTTGTCGTCGCCTTTTCTGATTCGGGACGTATTGCTGGCTGATACCCTCTTCCAAAATAATTCGGTAAATACAATCAGGTATTCCGAGATAAGGTGCTTGACGTGTCTGTACAATGGTCTCAAATCGTTTCCCTGGAGTACGCGAACGGATCTGACATTGTAATCGTTTGCGCACCGTCTCTAACGGTAGCGTGATTAGCAATTTTAGTGTGTATAATCCAAGACGCACAAAACCATATAAAACCGGCGAATCAGCGGATGAAATATGAAAAATACGATCAATTATTAACGGAATTGTACATTCCATTAGTGGACTGATCGCATGATAAACAATGGATGGTAGAAGATTGTGTGACCAGTAAAGAGAAGTAAATCCCTCTTCAGCAACAATAGTACGAAGACAATTAAACGTGCCATTATATTTCTTGTAAAGTGGTGATGCTGTTTGCACTATTAATCTATCTCAAATAAGACGGTGATTCGTGAATATATATTAAAATATTCAAAATGAACTTTGATAAATCTAACTACCTTGTCTTTACTAATTCCAAGGGACTTAGAATTACTCCTGCAAAAACATGACTCGCTACAAGAGTGGCAATATTCGGTCCGACACGATCTAAATAAACCAGGGGAATTGTATCGTCGTACAAGTCGAAAGCATCATTCAAGACACCTTCGATAGTTGATTGAACAAACAAATGCGACATCTCATATATCCAATTCGTCAATTGTCCTAAGTTAGAAATAAGAATACTTTTTAAAATATGAGCAAATTCAAAATATACATCTAATTTAACAATAAAATATTAATATTCACCTTTCCAGAGTGAAAAAAATCCTTCTGTTTTATGTTTTGTTAACAGCTGCATAGTATTCCACACCCCTTTCTCTAAAGGTGGCAACATATAAAGCGGCCGTGTTGCTTCGTCATAAACATTAGTGTTTACCAGATAACCTTGATTATCTGAAGATCTACTTCGAGATTCTGGAACTAGTGGTTGTGTAGAGCCTTGATGTCCACTGTAAAATTCATCATCATCCGTCAGCTTAAAAAAGACGCGGCCAAAAAAGATTTTTAAATCAGTATTCAATTAATTAGCATGCAATTGAAAAATCTTCATTCCAAGATAATAATAAAAATATATCCGCACAATCACGCACTTCTTCCTCAGACTCTGGTACAATTTCGGGCGGGAGTGATACTACATCTTCATTCGGCAGATATTGGACTTGTAAAAGAGTTTTGGCTACGTCAAAAGGTTCAGAGAAAGCCGAGCTAAAGAATTTTAATATCGCAAAGCTCGCAAAGGTTTTAACAGCATTTTCAGAGTCTACGTCTATTTGTCCGTGTTTTTGGGTTTTATCGTCCAAGTTGTTATTGCTAGCATTTCCCAGGGAGGGTGTGTAAAAGTGTTGCGCATCGGTAGGATTGTAATATGGTCGAAGTGGGTGAACGGTAGTTGACTGCGGAAAGGGAGTGTAAGTATACTTTGGAGTCGTTTCTGGTGCGGCAGACATTGTCCAGTTTCAAAAGTTATAGCGCGGAACTTGAAATCCCACGATTATCTCTTAAAGTCACATGCCTGTAAAACTTTTGGCAATTATTCACGCGATTTCCTAACCATAAAATGTAACCTTTCCTATTTTATTATAAATGGCCAAGTCCAATAATGTTCAAGAAACTTCTGATGTCCGGTAAAATGAAATACTACTTTATACTCTGGTCAAGTTGACTTTTGTCTCTGTAGCCGCGTAACGATATAGTAAATTTATCATAGGCTTCTTATTGAGGTCGACAAACTCCAAGAGTATTTAACTTTAAAGATGCCAGAGTTTCGAGCTCCCTTAGAGGTTAGACAGTTCAAGTATGGTCAAAGTAATCCTACATACCTTCTTATTGATGCAAAGTAAGAAACAAAGTTCTTGTTTAGCTGTATTAGTATGGTAATCCCACATTTGCTAACCAGTAACTTGATATAGTAAAAAGCGATATGTTCTTCGAAAAAAACCTCCAGGTGCTCTTTTATCGACTACTGCTCACGCTGTTGAACGTGAATTTCGAATACTTGATGCACTAAGTCGTAACACTGAGATTCCTGTACCTAAGGTTTATCTTCTTTGCGAGGATAAAAATATAATTGGGACATCATTTTATGTGAGAAACATAAAGATCTAGTTTCGTCTTTTAAAATGAATAATTGATGTATTATTAATCACACAAAATTAACAAACAAAAAAGGTGATGGAATTTCTCAAAGGTCGAATTTTCAATGATGCATCATTTTCGTCTCTTTCACAAAAAGATTGTAGGCAATGGTATGTTAAATGTTATGTTGATTCCCATATCTGCAGTTCTATGAGCTCACTTATTGGTCGTGAAATAGTTGGTATTCAGCTATAGATACTTTAGCCAAGCTTCATTCTATTGACCATAAATCTATTGGACTGAAAGGCTATGGCAAACCTTCTGGATTTTATTCTCGGCAGATTCATTCATTGCTCAGGGTTTCTGCTGCACAAGCAACTGCTCGAGATAAAAATGATGTAGCAGTTGGAGAAATTCCTAGATTAGATGAAATCATAAAGTGGCTTAAAAGAAACGAACTTCCTGATGAAACTACAATTGTACATGGGGATTATAAGGTAATTAAAATTTGCGCATGTTTTTTCGGGTTAATATTAAAATGTCTATGTTTCTATTTTAGATAGATAATTTGGTGAGTTGCATCTATTTACGATTGACTGCGACGTATGAACTCGTGTCAATCATGTGTACTGACTTATCTAAAGGTATATCATCCAACCGAATCGCGCGTTATTGGAATATTGGATTGGGAATTATCTACAATTGGGCACCCGATGTCGGATGTTGCAAATCTTCTCATGCATTATTATTTAAGACACGATACTTTTAACCTTTTCCCTGGTTTCATCGGTGCCAAAGATATCAACGTGCCTTCTTTGGAGGAATTGATGCGACTTTATTGCGAGAAAACAAGAAGACCATATCCAATCAAGAAGTTTGATTACGCAATAGTATTTTCTTTTTTTAGGGTACGAGTCTTATGTTTATTTTAATTTCCATATGTATATATATATTCAAATATTTATATTTATCAATATCTCGGAATTTTCAGTTCGGTGTGATTACCCAAGGCATCGATGCTCGTGTTGCATTAAAACAAGCGAGTTCAGCGGAAGCAAAAAAGTATAATGGCGCATTCAAGAAAAGTGCAGAATGTGCACTTGAAATAGTAGATCGTGGTGATTTGGACATTCAAAATAAACTTTGAGAGGAAATTTGACCTCGTAATAAAGATATTCGCAGAGAAGACTATTAATAGTAAGTATTATTGTTCTTTAATCTTTTTTTGAAATACGGGTTTTGATTTCGGTATAATCTAATTCATCCCTTTGTTATTAACTTTCAATTAAAAGAATCGCGTCAGTTTGAACCATCATACAATTCCTCTATTATTCGCGGTACACTGGCGTTTATAATTATTGACCACAAATATTGTGGTCGGCAAAGTTTAAAGGAGGCGCTAAGAGAGATTGGATAGACATCATTTTCATTTAAGACCATTTTATAATAGCATCTTTATGATTAGACATTTTCGCAGATTTTATAAACAAATAAGTGTGGCTTCAAAGCCAAGGCTCTATTCACTTCTATTATTAGCTGTTATTATAAAATGTCATTGATTTAATAAAACGAGATCCATTAAGAGAATCGATAGCGACAAGGCGAGCTATTTATTATAACTAACATAATTATATATAGGTTTTATTTGTACAGTTTGCATTTCGATAATCTATAAATATAAGGAAGCTGCAAATATAATATCTCGCCTTATCTTCTCCATAGCTGCAATGAAATGATTTTTCAGGTTAGACTTAATTAGATTGGTTAAGTCTACAAACAAAGCTTATTATTTTACCTTCTGAAAATTTATTCTCGAGTTCGATGTTTCCGATAATTTTGGTCGCGGAGACCATTGTACGAAGCAGCTCGTCTAAACTTCGGAAATTCCTGATTATATTGCCTTCAAACATACTTGTATATTTGCATATTTCCGCAAATTTCGCTCCCTAACAAAAAATATTTTGTTATGTTTATTTTTAATTAATAACATTTTATATCACGCTAAAGAGTAAAAACACTTGCTTTACACCAAGCATATACTATTTCCATCATGTCCGGATGAAATTGTTGAACATATTCTTCTTCGTCCATATTTGGAACTTTACATTCTATACTGATTTGCGCAATTCGACGTGCAGTTTCTTTTAATATCTGAAATGGTTTCATGAACTCTTCTTTTAGAGTAGCACCTGTCTCTTCGGCTTCCATCTGAATAAAGCAACTCATTACAGCAGCCGTCGTCTCGACAGACAAATCGTTAAACACACCGTTCATTAACATTTCCGTAAGCACTAACTCGTCACCACAATTGATCTCGCATGCAACACGACCCTTAATGTCAACAACATCACTGGCGGTAATATAACCTAATCGTCGTAGTACACGTTTCCGGCATTTGAGCTCATCCAGTTGCATAATAGAGTGGGTAGATTGGATTTTTTTCTTGAGCGCCTTAATTTTTCTTTCAATTAGCATCTTTTTGCTATACATGTCATAAATTTCGGGAAGTCGAGAGGAATTATGCAATGGATTCTGTAAAAGTTTCGACTCGAGAACTTCAATTTTCTAAAGTGAAAGTAAATCGTTAATATTAAAGCAAAAATCATCAAAAACCATGTGTATTATACTATACATATATAAACAAACCCTCATTAATTTCTTGAATCCTTCATCCACTATTCCCATATCACTAACAGGATCCAAAAAAGGTGGACCATTTGTAAATCTTTGGAAAACTTCTTGCATACTTTTATATACCGAATTACGTTGCTCTAGCGGTTTAAGATCTTTTGGAGGGAAAATACGGATTTCCGTTATTCCATCCAGACAAGCTAAATCTACGGGAACGACCTAATGCAAAATCAAAAGTTAATTATTAGAACAAAATTCTAAAAGTTCAAAAATAGATAGCATACCATCATTTCTCCCTTTTGGTTCTCAGGACATGGTCTCACTCCCGTGGTACTTCCGTCAGCATTTTTGGCAACGCTGGATTTTGCATCGCAATAAAGCAATACATCAACAATGTGTTGCGGCTTTCTAGTGGTTTCTGTTGAATTTTGAACGCTTTCCGGTTCCTATTGAAAATAAAAATACATGATAAAAAATGTCACGCAATATTTAAAGGCAATAAAAAATGAGAATAATAAAGAAATATCACCTTTCTTTTCTCAAAGCTCACAACCATTCCATAACCAAAATCCATATTATCATGTTTAACCCTGACCAATCTTCCAGTCTGCAGAAAATGCAAACAATAAGTTGGTTGATTTATTACATCACGCATATCTTTGGAGAAATTCTCTAATTGTTCGCGCAATAGATAATAGTCCGCGATAATTTCTTCATCGGGTATCTCAAGCGAAGCCTTTTCTTCTTCAAGGCGCGCAAGTTCTGTAATGAAAATATAATCACAGTTAGCATGTGATTTAGTATCTAAACTAATTAGAAGGATTATAATGAATTGCATACTTCACCCTCTTCTAGAGCGGGTAAACTAGCAGTATTTTGGAATTGATGGAAGCTACGTTGAAGAATGTATTCGGGACTGAACCCTTCTACCCTAGTCATGTTTAATATCATAACATATTTTAATTGAAATGCAGAAGTCAAATGATCCGCTTCTCCCTATAAATTCAAAATTATTAGTATGAAGAAAGAATATAATTCTAAAATATAATTAATAGAAAACCTTTATCATGTTTTTAATAACAGACGGGTCCATTCTCTCAGTGACCATCATGAATACAATTCCACGTTCATCAAGACCTCTTCGACCAGCACGACCAGACATTTGAATATACTCACCCGAAGAAACCTTTTATTGGAATAGAATAAATAAATAAATAAATAAAAACTATATATATATACATCAATCATTTAAATTTGAACTCACATATCGCATAGTTTCCCCATCAAATTTTTTCACATTTGAAAAGACGACAGTCTTTGCTGGCATATTCAAACCCATTGAAAAAGTCTCGGTGGCAAATAAAACTTTAATTAAGCCTTCTTGAAATAATATTTCAGTCACTTCTTTTAAGAAAGGCAATAAACCTGAATGATGAATACCGATCCCACGCTTCAAAAGGGGCAATATGGCACCTATTTGAGGGAGATTACGATCATCGTCTGATAGAGAGCTGATGGCGTTGGTGAAGACTTGTTGCACCATTGCTCTCTCGTTCTCTGTTTTGTGAACATATCATTATATTTAGTGACCTTCATTTAAAATGCATAGTATTGGCACATCAAATCAAATTATCATATACCATCATTAAAATCAAAAGTGACGTCTTGTGCTAAATGTTCACAATCCTTTTTGCTAAAAGAGAAAACTATAACTGGATTATAATTCTTCTGCATGATCATTTTGACGATTTTATACATGTCCGATGGTCCTGAAAATTTATTTTGCTGAAAATCAGTTTTGCGATAGAATTTTATACAAAAATTCGCTAATTTAAAGAAAATACCTTTTGATTGCTCAATTCGTCCTCTCTTGCTTTTTTTGCCTTTACCGCCTGGAGGGTAATCTCCTTCCCAGTCCTTTTTTAACGCGGCAATCGCTTGTTGGAAGATATCTTCACGAAATACACCCTTCTCATCGACAACCATATAAATACCATCAGTCCCCGAAGGGAATACATAATGTTGTAAGGGTGTAGGACGGAAGTCGGTATATACCACATGGCATGGCTAATTTAATTATGACAAAGAAATAATTGTGAATTAATTGCAACTAATGATAATCTTCTGAACTCAAAGAATTAAAACATAATGTGCCTGCTCATGTATTTTACATATCCACTCTGCAAATTCCATTGCATTTGGAATTGTTGCAGATAAGAATACATAATGAACTTGATGAGGTAGCAATATGATCGTTTCTTCCCACACTACTCCACGGGCTAAGAGGAAACGAAGATTAGAATGAATTTCTCTCAGTTAAAAATGATAATTAATCATATACCTTTATCACGCAAATAATGGATTTCATCAAAAATAACCCATGCTACTTCGCGCATTATCTCACTTCCTCGGTAGAGCATAGCGCGCAAAATCTGTAACATTGATTAGAAATCGAGCAAATATAATATAAACGGATAAAATTGAATAATTAAATAAGTACAAATCAAAACCTCGGTAGTCATAACAAGGCAACTTGCGGTCGGATTGATTGTAACATCTCCTGTCATCAATCCTACATCACCAAATTCTTCTTGTAATTCTCGATATTTTTGATTGCTCAATGCCTATCAAATTAATTTTTTGTTAATTATGAAATTGATGTGTTTACCTAGATCGAGAAATATTGACCTAAGATAATACCTTAATAGGACTAGTGTAAATAACACGTTGCTTATTTTTCAAGCCTTGAGCTATTGCATATTCAGCAACAACTGTTTTACCTGCCGAAGTATGAGCACTCACTAATACTGACTCTGATCTCTCTATACAATTAATCGAGACTTTTTGAAATGGATCAAGTGTGAATGGATATGTACGTGCTGCTTCGGGTGGTGATACATGACCAGCAAGTGGTATATATGGGTAATTGGGGGGAAGCGCAACTTGATGTCGAACCTTTGAAAGTACATGTAAGGATATAAAGCAATTCATTTTTTACAAAATTTTCAACACGAATTTCAAGCAGAGACTTACCTGGTGAGTTAATGTAACTCTACTTTCTGTAACCGGAGCGTCAGAAGTTAGATCAGCGGTTGCGGGTACCTCTCGAACAGCTTCCTCTTCAAAAACATCTGCAACGACCGGTTGCTCATTTACCGTGTAAATCTTTGCTTTTTTTGCTTGCGATTCATGCTCGCTTGTTAAATCAACATCGAAATTTTCTCGTTTTTTTGTAGCAGGAGCTCCAATGGTATTGTCTCCGTTAAACATAATGCTTGACAAGGTTCCAAAATTACTGATTGTGGTGTTAATTGATAGAACCAAAAAACGATATTTGCATTATATGTTTATCATTCTGAAATCTGCTGATCCAGTGATTATTCCAAATTAATAAATTGCCTCGAAATTCTCCGAAACACATGAGAATTTCTTCAAATGTATCATCCACCAAGAGGCGGTGTCAGAGGCGGCAGAGTAAATTTCTCCAAACTCTTTATGTTTATTTATTATTTCATATAAAGAAACCTATTGACGTCAATTTATACTTATATTTTCACAGGATCAATTCAATTGTAAGCTTAGGCTTTGTCATATTTTAATTAATAGTTTGTACTTCGTGTTTCTTTTAAGAAATGACTAATTTGACTTTATCTTTCTATTTACCCATTTCTTGTAGGGGAGTAAGTATTATTTTTTTATTGTTAATTGAGAGGTGTCTAAATATTGGATTTTATTCATAAATTATTTTTTCTTGATATTTTAAAGGGACGTTAAGACAGACAAATATCGAGAAAATTATCTAGGTCATTCAGTTTTTGCTCCTGTAGGAAGGTATGTAGTTAATTTCGATCTTAGCAGTGAAATTATCTCAATTAAATGTGGGTTTTAATATTCTCTATTTATTTTAATTAACATAGATGGCAACAAGGTATACATCTCCCCAATTACCAAAAATTTCGTCTACCTTTCTTTTATCTTTAATTAATTGCAAATGTTCTTTCTCGTAGGTAAAGATCTTACATGGTATGCTAAAGATAGCAGCCAGGAACAAGCTCGTCAAGAAGAAATTAGAGCAATCAAAGAAACGGAAGCAGATGTTATGGCTGAATTTTTGTAGGTAAATTTTAATATAGATTCAGACAAAAATGTTAACTGAGAAACTTTAATATATTTTCTCTTAATTCGTAGGGGGGCCGGCAAGAGGAAAGTAGTTACTGCAAATGTGTCAAAACAAGAGCTAAATAATATTTTAAAGAAAGAACAAGAAGACGACGCGGATGATAACGAAGAGATAATCAAAGTCAATCAAGAAGCCTCAAAAGGATTAGGATTTAGAAGGTTCTTTATCAGGTTTTTTGTGATAAGATATTATTTTTACTAGAATGATATAAATTAATCGCTGCATCTTATATTTTAGTTCTGGGAGACTTTTAGTCGCAGAAATGCTTCCTACCGAAATAGCTCAAACTAAAATTCCCAGTCAAAATAATGAAAATATGAGCGGTTTAGTTGTCTCAGATGATACAAAATATATTGCAGAAAGTAGTAATAGTCAATTTACTTCATCGAATAGTATTCCAATTAGTGTTTATCACAGTTTGTCTGCCATTAAAAAGCAAACGAAAGAAAAACCCAAGAAACATAAAGAAAAGCACCGGAAAAAAGAAAAACACCGGAAAAAAGATAACCATAGAAAAAAACGTGAATCTCATTATATATCAGCATCGGACGAAGATGGTTCAAGTGATAAGTCATCTCGAAATACAAGATCACGTGATAAAAAACGTCGCCGCTCCCCTTCAACGTATAAAAACAAAGAGATATCAATATCTCGTCGATCACGTTCGCGTTCACTTGGATTTCATCATTCTAGACGTGAACCATCTTATTCTCGCTCCCGTTCCAAGTCACCTTCCCCTTTTCAATACATAAGACGTGAACAATCTCGTTCAAGATCTCGCTCGAAATACAGAACAAATCCATCTTTGAAACGGGACAGTTCCAGCGAACAGCGACATCATTACCATCATAGAAGTTATAGAGATGATGAGTATCGTCACAATCGGGATCGAGAAAGACATTCATCAATTAAATATCATCGTACTATATAGAAATGATGTTGAAGATTGAATAAAGGTTTTAAACTTATTTAATTTAAAGTACATGTCAATGTCAATGTCAATGCTCATGCTCTTATTTAGAGTTACTTAATGACCTATAGCAATCAAGCAAATTATTAGCGTACAAAATTTACAAAATAAAATGGCTTCCTCTTTATAGAATCCTGTGTAATAAACATCATCCGCAAATTCAAAAGGATACAAATATACTTTTAATTGCAGATGAGACAAGATTAGTACATTATCAAATAACAGAGAAACTGTCGACAACTTTCTGAATAATTATGTTTCACCAAAGTTTCGTATGCGAACTACAAGAAGAATCGCCGTCGACTTGTCTCCATCTCGGGCTTTGGGATTTTTAGATTAGTAAAGAAATAGAATTATTTTTTTCTCGTATTAATTAATCAACTAATTTATAATTACCTTGAACATCCATTCATAATCACCATTTTTTTCAAATGCTCCTTTTTGTAGCCATTTGAGTTTGAGAGTGAATCGAGGACCAAGTTCTTGCAAATCAACTCGTTCTTTATTTTTGAATACATATCTAGAAATTATTATTATCTTAATGATTCACTATATCCATATATATATCGCACAATAAAGAAATAAATAATAAATCAATACCTATGTCGTCTAAAGAATATAAAATCACGTTGATTATGAAAAGTTGCTACTTGACGTCCTTGAAATTCAGGCACATGTGGGAAAAGTGCTTGAAGCCAGCGTCCAACTGTGTGTCCCAATCGTGTATTAAAGTTGTTAAGAATCAATTCAGGTTTATGACAAGACGAACGTCCGTGACCCTAAAAAAAGAGGAACAAAAAAAATATATCGATCTTCAATATATATTTGATTAGAATATTCAATAATGAAAAACATATTTACTCGAATTTGTTTACTCAATTTAATGCTGGTAAGCTTGAAATAAGCAGTAGGTCCATCTGGTAGATGTATTAGAGTGATAGCATCTGATTTTATGTGGGTATGAAAGAAAATAGTCAAAAATAAGATACAGATAACTAGTATATTGAATAATATACACTATAACTTACTTGAACATTTTTTATCCTCATTCACCACCATTATATCGGTGAATCCACGGTTATTACAAAACTCTACTATCTGTTTAATAGTAAACTGCTTTCCACGTTTGACAAATTGACTATTTGGAAAAACATCGACTAATTCCTCTGCGAATTCGTATACACTTTTCGCTGCCATCTTACTGGTTGTTATCAGTAATTTAGGTACAACCCCCTCTCTAAAGTATTGAGAGAACTCGTCGCTCGTTTCGTCTTCTATAACTTCTTGGTCTTCTCCAGAAACTATTGTCTCGTCGTATTCTCGTGTATTTTCAAGCGTTTTAGGAACATTTTGTGCAAGACGTTCCTACTTTACACACAAATATAGAGCAAAGCGCATTTGATTATAATGAAGTGTTCTGAGAAATAGTTCAGAGTGAATAATGAATACCTTCTTTTTTTCTGGGTCTTTAGCTTCTTCCTTTTGTCTTCGAAGTTTTAAAGCTAGCTTTTGGCGGTTCTTCTCCTGAAGCTGTCTATTATAGACTTCATCCCGTTTTATTTTATTCTTAATTTGAGAGGGAAGAATTGCTGACATGGTTTGTAAAAAAAAAATTATGATCAAATGTAATTTTGTTTATTAGGAGTTCATAGGGGGACATTCGTGTGATTGGCTGATTTTCTTAAGATCTACATCGTAAGATCGATTATACAAATTTAGTAAT